TGCTGTTTCCTCTGCCAGGAAACCTCTCCCCACCTCCCACACCCAACCTCTCAACCTTGCTGACTAACAAACTTGCATCACCCATAACTCAGCTCAAAGGCACTTCCTCAGGAAAGAATCCCCACCCCTCCCCATCCCACCGGGTCTCGTGCACCATGGGAAGCTTAGGAAACACGGTCTACTTCCTTACGGCACTATTCACTCTATTCTGAAAAAATGACTTTCTCAGCACATGTATAGAATTTAACATATAATTTTTAAAAGTTAATTTTAACAGCACAGATATATACCAGTTTACTCTGTTCCCTAAAACCATCGAACATTAAAGGGAATTGTGGAGCTTCATTTGACCACTGCCTGCTCCCTCCCCAGGTCCAGGTCCTGCCTCCACTCCCTGGATAAGACCGCTTTTAGGAGCCGTGTGTGTGGCCAGCACAGTGCTCCAGAGCTGGGTTTTTGGAGCCAAACTGTCAAGGTTTGATTCTTAGTGCTCCTACTTCCTAACTGTATAAGCTTAACCTCTTAACCCCTCTCTGCCTTGATGTTAGCATGTATAAGTAAGGATCAGTAATAGTAACTAGTAGTTTTAAGATTTACATAAGATGTTACATAGGAGTTATGCTGAGGCTTTCCTAGGCAGCGGAAAAGCTTTTTTTTCAGCTTGCAGAGGGCAGGTCATGGGTCTTCTGGGCCTCCATAATTTCATGAGCCTATGTCTTCTCGTAAGAAATCTATCTGTCTAGCCATCCATACTATTGGTTCTGTTTCTCTGGAGAATCCTGACTAATACACTATAACATATAGATAATATATAGTATTGTTTTGTGTATTTAAGCAACATAAATCGTATATATAAGTAGCATTTGGGAACTGACTGTTTTTACTCAATAATATGTTTCTGAGATCTTGCATGTTTATATATGTAGGTTTAGTTCTGATTTATTCTTTTAAAATGCTGGATAATAATAATTCACTATATGATTATACCACATTTTTATTAATTCATTTTCATATTGCTATTCCATAAGATTGAATTTGGAATCTTTTTCCAATTTTTTGATATTTCAGGTAAAATTGCAATGAATATATATATATATATATATATATATATATACACATATATATATATACCCAAGGTATGCTGCAGTAATAAACAAAAATGTTTTTCTAGATTAAATATCTAGAATTATTGATAGATCATAGATTATGTGTATTTTCACTTTAAATGGTTCCCCACCAGGAATATTTAAAAGCACTTTAGTTTCTATCTTACCTGAACATCATGATGATATTCTTGTACACTTTCTTCTAAACATTTGTGGTTGTTCTCTTTTTAATTTTTAATTTTAAACTTGGATTTATTTTTGTATATGGTATGAAGTAGGGATTAATTTTTTTCCATAAGTTAAGTTTCCCAACACCTCTCATGAAGAATTCACCCACTGCCTTGAAATGTCTTCTTTATCCTAAGTCAAATCCCCCGACTTAGTTTCTGGACTCTAGTCTATTCTTATCATCTATTTATGTGCATCAGTGCCACCTGTTTTAAAAATTGCAGCTTTAGACTGTCTTTTGATTTGGTAAGGCAAGCTTCTAACCACCACTATTGTTCTTTTTCAAACAGCTATTGCTGCACATTTACATACACTATTAAAATCACATCAGATATTACGTATCTTGTAGAGGCCTAGTGCACAAAATTCGTGCACTGATAGGGTCCCTAGCAGCTGCCGGCTGGGTACTCCCTCCCTTCCCCCTGCTGGCCCCGCCCCCTGGTCGAACTCCTGGACAACTCCTGGTCGAGGGGACAATTTGCATACTATGCTTTTATTATATTGGATATGCCTATGTATTTATTACTGTTTTTTCCATTAGAATGACAGCTCCATGAAAGCTTTTTTTTGTTTGTGTTAATCACAAGGATAACTAGAAAAGGGTCAGGCCCATTGTAGGCCCTCCAAAAGTTTTGTTAAGTGAATGAATAAACATGAAGTTTAGAATCATCCTGTTCTAAGTTCTATGAAGAGTTCCTTTGGTATTTTTATTGGAATTGCATTGAATTTTTAAATTAATTTGGAGAGAATTGACATCTTTACAGTGGTAGTCATCCCATTGTTGAACACAATACCCTTGTACAACTCCCCATATATTTGAGTCTTTTTTGTGCCTTTCAGTAGAATTTTATTGTTTTCTCCATAAAGGTCATATATTCCTAATTATTATTATTTTAAATGGTATTTTGTTTGTTTTTTTAAGTTTGTAAATTTTTTAAAATTTATCTTAGAGTGAGGAAAGGACAGAGGGAATGAGAGAGAGAGAGATGGATGTGAGAGAGAAACACTGATCAGCCACCTCCTGCATGCACCCTGCCTGGGGAATCAAACCTGCAACCTTGGTATGTGCCCTGACTGGGAATCAAACCTGCCACTTTGTGGTGTATGGAACAATGCTCCAACCAACTGAGTCACACTGGCCAGGGCTATTTCTAATTAATTTATTCCTAAATATGTTATAGTTTTTGTTACTATGTGAATGGGATTTTAAAATTATTATTACACTAGAGGCCAGGTGCACAAAATTTGTGCACTGGGGGGGGGGCTCGTGTCCCTCAGCCCAGCCTGCACCCTCTCTAATCTGGGACCCCTCAAGGGATGTCCAACTGCCAGCCTGACTGTTGGACATCCCTCTCACAATCCAGGACTGCTGGCTCCCAACTGCTTGCCTGCCTGCCTGCCTGCCTGATTGCCCCCTAACCACTCCCCTGCCAGCCTGATTGCCCCCAACTGCCCTCCCCTGCCAGCCTGATCACCCACAACTGCCCTCCCCTGCCAGCCTGATCACCCACAACTTCCCTCCTCTGCCTGCCATCTTGTGACCACATGGGGGCAGCCATCTTTGTGTGAGGGCGTGATGGTCAATTTGCATATTACCACTTTATTATATAGGGCTAGAGGCCCAGTGCATGAATTTGTGCACAAGTGGGGTCCCTCAGCTTGGCCTGTGGGATCAGGCAGAAACTGGCTCTCTGACATCTCCTTAGGGGCTCCAGATTGTGAGAGGGCATAGGCCAGGCTGAGGGACCCCACTGGTGCATGATCGGGGCTGGGGAGAGATGCAGGAGGTTGGCCAGCTGGGGAGGGACAGTGGGAGGGCTCCAGGGCATGTCCGGGCATCTCGCTCAGTCCAGATCGGCCAGACCCCAGCAGCAAGCTACCCTAGCAGTCGGAGCATCTGTCCCCGGGCACGTCAAAGCAACTGGTCGGCCCATTGACTATCTGCCCCCTGGTGATCAGTGCACGTCATAGCAAGCAGCCTTAGCATATCATTAGCATATTACACTTTGGTTGAACAGATGACTGGACACTTAGCATATTAGACTTTTATTATATAGGAATTTTCAAATTATTATTGCTGATATATAGGAAAGTTCTTGATGTGTAAATATTGATCTAGTGCCCTGCACCAAAGGGTCACCTGGTGTTGTAGGCTCAATTCCCAGTAAGGGGTGTGCAGGAGGTAGCACATTATGTTTCTCACATCAATGTTTCTCTCTCTCCTCTCTAAAATACATAAAAACATATTTTTAAAAATATTGGTCTAGTATCCAGACATTTTGCTGCACTCACCAATTATTGCTTTGGGTTTTCCAGGTGAACAATCACATCACAAATAATGGCAATTTGGTCTCTTCCCTTCAATTTTTAAACCTCATATTTGCTTTAATTTCTTATTGCATTAACTGTAACTTCCAGTGTATTGTTGAAGAGTATTTTGATTCATTTCTGACTGCATTGGTATAGCATTCAAGATAGGTCAAGGTATGCTGCAGTAACAAACAATCCCCAAATCTAGTAGTTTAACACAATAAAAATGCATTTCTCAGGTCCTGGCTTGTTTGGCTCAGTGGATAGAGTGCTGACCTGCAGACTGAAGGGTCCCGGTTCAATTCCAGTCAGGGGCACATGCCTGGGTTGCTGCTTGATCCCTAGCCGGGGGAGAGCGTGCAGGAGGCAGCCAATCGATGATTCTCTCATCAGTGATGTTCCTATCTCTCTCTCCCTCTCCATTCCTCTCTGAAATCAATAAAAACACATTTAAAAAAAAAATGCATTTCTTGCTTACACCCCACGTCCAATACAAGCCATGGAGCAGGGAGGAGTTCCTTAGTGTTGTTTCCCAGAGACTCAGGCGGATGGACGTTCCATGCCTCCATGGACATGTGCTTCTCCGATAACCATGGTGGAAGGGGCAAGTGAATCATGGGCTGGCTCTTAGAGCTTTTACTGTAAAGTAACTCATGTTCTGCCCACTGGCATTTCAAAGCAAGTTCCATGGCCAAGCCTAACTTCCACCGGGGGAGGGAAGTGTGACCCTGCCATATGCCAGAAGGGCCGTGGGAATGGGTCTCATGCCCCCCACGCCTGTGATGTAAGTTACATCCCATACGCTCCAAGTTCCTAGTAGATCACCCTTTATCAAGTTAAGGATTAAGTCCATGAGTTTGTTTGGATTTTGTTCAGTAAAGAGATTGTCTCTATCATGCATGAGTGTTAAATTTTATCAAAAGATTTTACATCCTCTGTTTGATGTGCAGATGTTATTTTTCTCCCTTGATTTCTTGAGGCATTTATACATATTTTTCGCCCAGAACTTTCTCCTCCACCGCCCTCTTCAAACACTTCAAAGCTCATTCATTCATTCATTCATTCATTCATTCATTCATTCAGCAAATACTTACTTAGCAATACTGTGTGCCAGATGCTGTTCTAGGCACTTGGGGGACACCAGCGAACAAAGCCGGCGGAGGTCCTTGAACCCACCCTCTCCCCAATCCTGCCCCCACCCGCTAGCGCTCCGCCCCGCCTACGCTGCGACTTTAGGGGCCGGCAGAAGCCGAGCTGGGCGCTGATTGGTGGTTTATTCTAACAGCCAGAGGCTGAGCTCATCTGCAGCCAATGGCTGCCTGCACCCGGCAAGAAGCCTGCACCCGGCTGGAGGGCGCACAGCCGGGGTCCCGGTGCAGGATCCCCCGCGGACGGGAAGGGGCGGTGGTGGCGCCGTGGCCGCGCGGACCGAGCTCCTGGCTCGGGCAGGTAAGTGTTTGCCCGGCTCCTCACCATCCCTCCTCCCAGGCGAGGATGCCCCCTCTTCTCACTCCCAGCTCACCTTCCTCGGCCTGACCCCAGCGGGGCGGTGCCCCCGCGTGCCTGGAACTCACGGGCTGGACGCGCCGCTTTCTCTGTCCAGGCCTCGTCCTGCGGCTCTGCCCCCCCAGCTCTGCCCGCAGGACCGGCCTCAGGCCTCAACACAGGCCTCAGAGCTGCATGTCCTGTCCCGGGTCGGGTGGTTGGGCGAGTCCCTCCCTCCACCTCCTGGCCTCAGGCTGGCCAGGGTGCAGCTCCCCGCTGGCCCCGGGGTGTGGGTTTCCCTTCCCGCCCCACTCCCCATCCTGTTCTCTCCTCCCTTTCTCTACAGAGGCGGGCGTGCCTGGGATTGGGAGTTCAGGCCCGGCTCCTTCCCACTGGGGCCTGAGAGCAGGGGCGCCCTGCAGAGAGGGCAGGGGCAGCTCTGCTGGCCTCTCTCCGAGCCCTTTCCTTGGCCGCAGCCACTTCTCTGTCCCTTTGGCCACGTGTGTCCCACACGCTCAGAAAGGAGCTGCTGCCCCGTCTCTGGCCACGTGGGCTCCTGGCTTCAGAGACGGAGCCAGGAGAACAGAGCCATCCCCTCCCCAGGGCTGGGTAGGCCCTGCCCTCCTTCCTCCAACTCCATCCATCTGCCACTGGGTCATTGCACTTGCCCACAGGCTTGAAGGCCTGGCTCTGTGCCCAGCTCTCTGCTGGGCGGTGTGGGAGGCCCTCGCCCCTGACCACTCTGACCTCGGCACTAAGGGAAACAAAGCAGGGGCCGGCCATTCTGTCTGGAGCTGAATGGGGAGGAAAAGTGAGATTCCCGTGGGAGGAGCGGGAAGGGGAGAACAGGCAGGATGGAGGGAACAGTGTGAGGAACGGCCCTGCCTCGGCCTCAGAGTGCGGCCTCCGTTACGTTTACTGTGTGACAGACATGGGTTCGCTCTGTGCCACGTGAAGGCAGCTCTGGGTCACAGATACCTTCAGCTCTCGCCAGTGCTCAGCACCTCGTAAGTGCTCAAGAAATGCTTGTTGAACTGAATTTGAATTGAAGGGAGGAGCCCCAAGCGTGTTCTTATTCTGTTACCTCTGCTTAGGAAAGACCTGGCTCCTTTAAGGACTTTACCCACATTAGCTCTGACCCTGCAGCCCGCCCCCCTCCACCCAGGTGTTAGTCTCTGAATATTCAGGGGAGGAAACCCGGGCGCAAACGGGGTGTTGTTCCCAGCGGGGTCCTCCCTCATGCACCTGCTCACTCCCAGGTCGCACCTGCAGGGCAGCAGCCATGAGCCTGGTGGCCTGTGAGTGCCCCCCTGGCCCCGGGCAGGAGCCTGAGCCCTGCTCGCGAGCACCATCCCAGGCCCGCATGTACCTGGAGCAGATTCGCAACCGGGTGGCTCCGGGGCCACCTGACGTGACCAAGCGCGACTACCTGGTGGATGCAGCCACGCAGATCCGGCTGGCCCTGGAGCGCGATGTCAGCGAGGACTACGAGGCAGCCTTCAACCACTACCAGAACAGCGTGGACGTCCTGCTGCGAGGCGTGCACGGTGAGGGCTGGGCGGGGCCGCGCGGGGACAGGGGCTGGTGAGGGAGGGCCGAGGTGGAGCTCGTCCCTCATCTGTCCATCCGTGCCGGGCGAACAGGGCCCGCGGGCCTCTCCGACAGACACTGATAATAGCGAGTGTTTATCCAGCAGTTCCTGCATGCCAGGCGCCGGCCCAAGGGCTTTGCCTGTGTTAACTCACCTGAACCTCACGGTAACAGAAGATACTAAGTATGTCGTTGCATGGAGCTCCGAGTGCATAGGAACTATTTTATTCCTATTTCCCGAGTGAGGAAACGGAGGCACAGGGCAGCGGCATAGCTCGTGTGTCATGGGGGTAGGCTGATGAGTTGACGATGGACAATTACAGTCTCGTGTGAAGGGCAATGAGGAGGAAGTGAAGGGAGGGAAACTGAGTCCAGGCGCGGCCGGCCTAGGGGATGTTTCTAGAAGTCCAAACTCTAGTCGGAGCACTGAAGAATGGCAGGTGCACTGTCCAGCTGAAAGGTCGGGCAGAGCTCCTGAGAGAGAACAGCAAAGTGGGAGGGGAGGGGAGGGGAGGGCAGGGGAGGGGGAGGGGAGGGGAGGGGAGGAGGGAGGAGAAGGGCCTGTTCAGGGCAAAGTAAGGCATTTCCAAGCTGGGGGAGAGGCTGCCCCTGAGGCCAGTGTGGGACCCGGGGGCCTTGGTGGCCAGGCTCGGGTAGAGTCAGGCCCTGATTCGTGCTTCCTACCCTCCTGCTGGCCAGACCCCTCAGTGCCTGGGCTGCAGGCCTGTCCAGCAAATTACTTTGTCTTCCAATCCTGATCCCTCTCTGGCCTTTTTTACACTGGGCACCAGAGAGGAAGGAAGCCATGTTCTCTGGGAGCTTCTGTCTCCTGTGAAAATGGACATGGAAATCCCACTCGGTCCCTGCCCAGGGTGTGACGGCGGCCAGCGAGGTGGTGGGTGCCAGCTGCAAAGTGCTGTAAGCAGAGGGTGACCGCAGCTCCCAACCCCTCCTGCCATCTTCCTTCCTCCTCCCCCGCCAGTCTCCCTCCCAGAGGAGGAGCTCAGGAACAGATGTGGGGCAGGGTCCGCTGACCAGCCTCAGAGTTAGGCACCCTGTCCTATGGAGGGCAGAGGGCAGGCCATGGGAGTTAGAACCACAGCCCTCCAGGGCCAGGGAGGGGAGCAGGGCGGGTCCTGGTAACCCCCTCCCCCCCACAGTGGACCCCAACAAGGAGCGATGCGAGGCTGTAAAGCTGAAAATCACCAAGTACCTGCGGCGGGCAGAGGAGATCTTCAACTGCCACCTGCAGAGGACCCTGGGCAGCGGAGCCAGCCCTGGCACGGTGAGGAGCCGCCCCCCACCCGTGGGCCAGCGGGCTGCAGGGCTGGGCGGCCAGTGGTGTGCCAGGGCTGCCCCTCCTCCCCCCCCTCCTTTGGCTTCCTCTCTCTCCCACACCCTCTGCAGTTCATTCATTTTCCATCACTGAGTGAATCATCCCCAGTCCAGTCTCGCGCCCTCACAGAGCACACACACATCTCCCCACCCTCGCCCACGGCCCATACACATGCCCGCATGTGCACGCACTTCAAGGCTCCCAGGGCTGTTTGTGTTTGAATGGGCCTCAGTATGTGGAGCAGACACGAATACCGCCGTGTGCACATACACATACATGCGTACATAGGTGTGCACGGCTGCTCTCCCCATATGGCTTTTCCTAACCCAGTGCACACGCAGAGGGTTTGAAAATGCACGCACACCTCTCATGCCCACAGGTGTGCACAGACATGCACACGCACCCCTCCTGGGCCCACTTTTCCCCAGATCACGTGCCTGGGCCACATGCCTTGGTCTTCGAGGCGTGTTCCCTGGGATCCACACGTTCCCAGGTTATTTCCCCACCCCCAGGAGCATCTGCCTCCTGGAGATAGGGAGGCTTCTGAAGCCTTAAGGACTCCCTGAGCCTTGGAGAAGGGCTGCGGGGAGGTGTGGGGGGGGGGGGGGGGGGCGCTGGGTGAAGAGGGCAGTGTGGGCCCCCCCGCCCAAGTCAGGACCAGCTTCTCTGCTAGCCTGTCCCTGTGAGGTGAGGCTGGACCGTACCCCATTCTTGCCCACTCCCTGTGCTCCCCCAGCAGCTGGAGGCCCTGCCCACTGCCTGGCTGAGGAGGGCTGGGGCCTGAGCCTGTCTCCCCTCGCAGGGTTTCAGCAGCCTGAGGCTCCGGCCCATCCGCACACTGAGCTCTGCCCTGGAGCAGCTGAGGGGCTGCAGGGTGGTTGGGGTCATCGAGAAGGTGAGTAAGCAGGGCCCTTGGTGTGGGAGGAGGTGGTGTGTGCGATTGGGGTGACAGGTGGGCAGAGAGAGCAGCCACGCCCAGTCCTTCAGAGGAGACTGGAGAGGGGGCAGCGGCCCCCCATCCCTCCCTGCCCCAGCACACACCAGTCAGGTCCTAGGAAGGAAGCTGGGAACCCAAGAGGCAGGCAGCGCCTTTCCACAGCCCTCCAGCTCACACGCAGAAAACTGCTCCCTCCGGGAGTCAAGACAGAAGCCTCAGGAGAAGATGTGCCCAGGGCATCCTGCCACCCACTCTGGCTCACTCCCACTTCCCACCGGCCCCCACCCTGCATTCCCTCTGCACCCAGGGCTGCAGCCGAGCCTCCCACCAAGCACAGCCAAGAAGGTCCCGTGGCGGGAAGGTGCTTATCTCCAGAAACCTGCCCTCCGAGTGTCCCAATCATCCAGGGCCTGGCAGCTCTGCCCTTTCTCTCCGGGCCCCACCCTCCTCCTCACCCCATCTGGGACCCTTCCCCTTAACGCTAGGCAGACAGGAAGATAGGAGCTGACATCCCAACCCGCACCTGGGACGCTCAGAGTGAAGTCAGAAGGACAGTTGGGTCAAATGAGATTGGAGCTGTCGGCGTAAGAAACGTCCAAACCTGTACGAATTTTTTGAGTTTATTTGAGCCCAACTGATGACAATTGTGGGGAAGCAAAATCTCAATGAATTGAGAAAATGTTCCAGAAAAAATGTCAGTTTTACCACTTATTTTATACATTAAAATTAAAGGGGAGACCAAGGGGGGCGGTTACTTAAAATTCATTGGCGGTAGATGAGGGAGGCGGGAGAGCAACTCGGGGAAATCTCTGGGGTTGGGTAGGAAGTAAAACGGGTAGAGCCATACTTCTTTTACCTGGGAGGGCACCGGGCGGGTACTGAGTAACATTTACAGCACATGGAGAGGGGATTCCGGGGACATACCATGAGGGGTTCTGTGGTCTCCTGATCGGTGGGAGGTTGTTCCCTGGGGTGGGGGGTGGGGGGTGTCTGCAAAGGAGATAACGCTGACATTTCAAAGGTATGTTATCTTAGATGCAAAATGACAGGCTCACCTAAGGTACAGATTGAGGTTTGTCAAGGAAGCTATAGGCCTAGGACGTGACGACCCCCTACGACTCTCCTGTGGTTAGGAAGCTTTATGCTCAGACCACCCTGTGTGGTTACTTCCGGTCCCTGAGCTTATAAGGCCCGTCAGGCAGGCCTCCCCTGAGCTTGTCAGGTTTCGTCTGTGGCCCCCTTTTCACCCACAGAGCCAGTGTTGGATTGCCCTCTGCCCCCACCAAGGGCTGCCTGAGGAGTCACGGAAGAAGTTCTTCTCATTCTGGCTGTTTGTCAGAATCGCCTGGGGAGCTCCCCCAAAATACAGACGCCGGGGCCCCACCGCAGGCCCTTTGAGTCAGAATCTCTGGGGTCGAGCCGGGTATCTGCAATTCCAACACTCATGGGGGATTCGATGGGTCGGGAGCCACAGAGCGGAGGAGGCCAGTGTGTGCTTCCGCACACGCCCGAGGATGGAGTCTGTGTGGGCAGCACACAGGCGGCCAAGGGCAGGTCCTTCACCTCTCAGCGCTGGCCGGTCAGTGGGTGAGGCCCCTCCCCCCACGGGGTGATGTGGGAACTAAAATGAGCTCATTTAGGGGAAAGGCCTGGCACATGCTAAAACACGTGATGCACGTTTGATGGCTCTAGATGTGGGTGACCAACGCCAGTCCGGAGGCATGTGGCTTCCCGTCCCCCAGCCTTGCTCCAGCTGCTACTCCCAGGTCCCTGGAATGGACCCCAGTATGTCAGCAAGGCCCAGCCAGGCTCCATCTGTGCAGTCCTGCCCTCCCGCCAAATAGTCCATGTGGCTTGCACAGGCTGGGAGGTGACTGCCACCCCGTTGCCCCACATGGGATCCCACTGAGCCAGGGGTGCTGGGGAGAGTGGAGTTCCGGGTGAAAGAAGTTTGGCAAATAGTGAGTTCACGTTACACTACTTTGTTTTTTATTATTTATTTATTTATTTATTTTTTAAAGACCTGAGAAAAGTAGTGTTAGCTTTTAGCGTCTGCATCTTTTTTTTTTTTTTTTTTTATGATTTTTTACAGAGAGGAAGGGAGAGGGATAGAGATTTAGAAACATCGATGAGAGAGAAACATCCATCAGCTGCCTCCTGCACACTTCCTACTGGGGATGTGCCCGCAACCAAGGTGCATGCCCCTGACCGGAATCGAACCCGGGACCCTTCATTCCGCAGGCCGACGCTCTATCCACTGAGCCAAACCGGCTAGGGCTGTTTTTTAAATTACAGGAGTTGTAGGATGCAAATGGGCACCTTGAGTTGCCAAGAGCGAGGTCTGTGACAGGATCCCCCTCATTTGCTTAAGCCCTGGTCACCCCTGGGCAAAGCGTTTTCGGAACCCAGTGTTCTGAGTCCTGCATGTGGACAGCAGCCTTCCTGTCCTGAGATCGCCCTGCCTTCCTTTTCACCCTTTCTTGGGCATTCACCTCACCTGCTCCACCTCCCTCCAGAGATCCTGCTTCCTGTTCCTGCGCCGTTCCCAAGCCAGGAGCACCAATTTCCCCAAATTAGGAGAGGTGTTCGGCAGCCTCGGGCCAGGTCTGATGTGCCTCACAGTGTCCCATTCCACAGCTCTGCCCGGGCAGATCCGGACAGGAGAGCAGCGCTGGGCCCCAGCACAGAGCCCGGGAGGGCAAAGGGCTGGCTGGGGAAGCCGGCGCATCCCCTGAGGTGCCCGGTTGTCGGGAGGGGGTCTCTAGGGCTGAAGAGGTACTGGCAGGCATAGAGGATGGCAGGGAACAGAGGTGGGTTGGTCAAGGACTAGGTAGGCAGTCGGCCAGAATACCCAGGCGTCTGCCCTCGGGGAGCCTGGAGGCCTGCTAGCCGCGTCCAGGATCCAGGCTCTGAGTCAAGGATGGGGAAGAAAAAGGTCGTTCGAGTCACTTCTTGTTTTTCTGGCTCAAACACCGGGGTGTTTTTTAAAAAATGTATTAGTTACCAACATTTAAAAGTTGGCAGGTTTCATATAAACATCCAGATATCCTGCTTCTCCTCAAAATCCAGAGATCTGGAAAGGCTGGCTCGGGGTCCCTGAAGCAGCAGGGAGTGGAGGAAGGGCTGCCCGCTTGAGGGGACACCGGCCTCTGCTTTGCTCCCGTCCCTGCCCCGCTCACTGGGCTCACATGCCCAGCCCCCGTGGACCTTGGATTTTGCAAACCTGTTTGCAGCTTTTGGGCTTGTTAGCTCCATGAGAGATTCCTTCTGGGATTTTGATACGTTGGGCATTTTTACAGAAAGTGCTCATGTGTTTCACCAAAGAAGCTGCAGCAGCTGCACCAGCCACATTTCAAGGGCTTGGTAGCCACACGTGGCTAATGGCTCCCACACGGGACGGTGCCGTGGGGTTTTCCTTCACGGCCACAAGCTCCTCTGGGTAGAGCTGACTGTTAGTAACTGTCTTACAGAGCGTGAAACTGAGGCCACAGAGGCCACGTGACTAGCAGGTGCTGTGTCTCCTGTAGCAAGAAGCAAAAGAGGAAGGTGGTGTGTTTGTTTGCTGGGTTTAATGGGAAGATGCCCTGTCTGCTACCCTTTTGAGATAACACGAAAGAGGAAGACATTTAAAACAGAAACAAACAATTCCCCACCACCCTACCTCACTCCAAGATAATTACTGCTAATGTTCTGGTCGAACTCTTTCCAGATCGGTAGGTATAAAATACATATAGAGTTTAACCCACTGTTTCAATGTCCTGATTGCGTTTTATTTCTCACTGCCCCAACCTTCCCCGCTGGTTTCTGGGCTCTGTGAATGATAGGGCCATGTCCCGGACGAGGTAGTAGGAAGCCCCACTTGGCAAGGGACAGTGGGGAATTATCTGGGTGTCAGTGCTTGTGGGAAACTCTGTTCTCCTAAATGACCCCAGATTTCTTTTTCAAACATTGTACAGACTTGGCAAAGGAGCTGGGGCCAGGCTGGGTTCCGTCTCTGGCTCTTGGAGGAGGAACCCCCTCACTCCTGCTGCACCAAGTCCACCGCCTTCATTTCACTGGTGATGGGGACACTGGGGCCCAGAGGGGAGGGCACATGCCAGAGTGAGCTGGTTGTGCCCCCAAGTGCAGTTATTCTCCAGGGCCCGGGGTCAGCCTGACTGGATCCAAGGCCTGGCTCTACCACTTTTCAGGAGCGGGATCGTGGGCAACATGACCTCTCTGAACCTTAATTTCTTTTTTTGAAAAAATATCTTTTTATTGATTTCAGAGAGGAAGGAAAAGGGAACGATAGAAACATCAGTGATGAGAGAGAATCATTGATCGGCTGCCTCCTGCGCGACCCTATTGGGGATGGAGCCCACAACCCAGGCATGTGCCCTGATTGGGAATCGAACCATGACCTCCTGGTTCATAAGTCAATGCTCAGTCACTGAGCAACACAGGCCTGGCTGAACCTCAATTTCTTCATCAATAAAATGGATCACCAATAACACTCACCAAGTAGGGCTGTGAAACTAAATCATATAAAGCATTTAGCACAGAGTATGTGCTCCCTACCCAGTGGGGTTTCTTAATAATAATAATAAAAATCTACACTAATAAAAGAGAAACATGGTAATTGGCATATGACCGCTACCCTTTTCATTGGCTAATCAGGGTGATATATGCAAATTAACTGCCAACTAAGATGGCGGTTAACCGCCAACAAAGATGGTGGTTAATTTGCATATGTAGGCACAATGCAGGGAGGCGAAAGGGAAAGCAGGAAGAAGCCCCCTGCCACTGACAGTGATCGGAAACCCAGGGGGGAGCTAAGAGCCGGGGGGCAGGGCAAAGGCGGCCCCCAGCCATGATCGGAGAACCGGGCGCCTTTGCCGCCCTGGCCAGTGATAGCAGGAAGTAGGGGTGGAGCCAGTGATGGGAGCTGGCAGTCCCGGGAGCTAGGGGTCCCTTGCCTGGCCTAAAGCGGAGCCCGGGATTGCGGGGCCGCTGCAGGGGCGGAGCCTGCAACCGCGGGGAGCTGGGGGTGCCCTGCCCAGGCCTAACGCCTCAGACAGAGGCCTCAGGCCTGGGCAAGGGGCCGATCCGGTGATCGGGCGATCGGAGGGTGATGAGGGTCAACTCCTCTGGCCAAGGCATCAGGCCTGGGCGGGGGGCGGAGCCAGCAATCGGAGGGGGTTGGGGGTCCCCTGCCCAGGCCTGATGCCTGGGCCGGAGGCATCAGACCTGGGTGGGGGGCGGAGCCAGGGGTTGGGTGGATATGATGGTCCCCTTGCCCAGGCCTGAAGCCTGGGTCAGAGGCGTCAGGCTTGGGTGGGGGAGTGGAGCAAGCGATCAGCGAGATGGGGGTCCCCTGCCCAGGCATGATTCCTGGGCCAGAGGCATCAGGCCTGGGCGGGGGTCAGAGCCAGTGATCGGGGGGAGATGGGGGTCCCCTGTCCAAGCCTGACACCTCTGGTGGAGGCGTCAGGCCTGGGCAAGGGGCCAATCAGGCGATGGGAGGGTGATGGGGGTTGACGCCTCTGGCCGAGGCATCAGGCCTAGGCAAGGGCGGAGCCGGTGATGGGGGGGAGAGGGGGGTCCCCTGCCCAGGCCTGAATCCTGGGCCAGAGGCATCAGGCCTGGGCTGGGGGCAGAACCAGGGAAATAAGGGTCCCCTGCCCAGGCCTGCGATTGGAGGGTGATGGGGGTCAACGCCTGAGGGCTCCCAGTATGTAAGAGGGGGCAGGCTGGGCTGAGGGACACTCCCCCCCCCCCACCCAGTGCACGAATTTCGTGCACCGGCCCCTAGTAGTAATAATAATAATAATCACTAAAGATTATTGAGGGCGTGTTTGTGGCAGGCACAGGTTGCTGCTCTGCTTGAGTTGTCTGCTTTATAGAATCCTAATGACCTCCAGATGGGGTACTGCTATGACCCCAACTTGCAGTTAAGAAAACAAGGTTCAGAGAGGTGATGTGTCTTAGCAAGTGTGACAACTGGCATGCTCACGGCCTTTACATCCAAGATGGCATCAACCAAACCGGTGATGAAGGAAGGGGGCATTTGCAATCACTCTTTGGTAGATGAGGAAACCAATTCACTTGTCCAAGATCTAAGCCCAGTTCCAACCTGAGGCTGCAGGATTCACTGCCCAGTGGTCTGGCCTAAGGGCCGGGCTCCATCCACCACCACGGGGAGTGTCTGCAAGGAGTCACAACCTCACCCAGTGGTCTTGCCCCTGCAGGCCCCTAATCTGGGCCATTTTCTGCCCCCGACATGCCCGGCATGCCCTCTCCCGTGCCTGGGGTCCACCCTGCCCACCACGAGAAGAGGCAAGTTCCCACCTTGATACAAGGCCCTGCCTCTGAACAAAACCAACGGGCGAAGGAGTGGGCTGCTCTCCGAAGACAGCCTCCAGAGAGAATTACTTAAAAGAAGGGTGGGCGTCAGGGGGAGAGGCCTGAGAGAGCACTCCCAGCCCAGGCACGTGGGCACGGCTTGGCCCATTGGTGGCCTGGGCCACACTCTCGGAGCCTCAGCCTTTCACCTGTAAAATGAAAGATCAATCACGTAACTGGTTCTGAGGTCGTTTCCATCCATGACACCTTCGGACCCTGCAGGCTGGGCCACTCCCCATGGATGTGTGCTCTGGAAACAGCTGGACAGTGGGGTTCCTGTCCTCCTGGGGCTCACAGTGCAGTGGGGAGACAGGAAATTAGACACCGTGTGATAAGGTTCCCCTACGGGTGAGCTTGGAGAGCACCTGAGGGCTAGGAAGGCTTCCTGGAGGCGGCGGCACATGAGCTAAGACCTGCGGGTCTAAGGAGGGTGGATGAGCAGGACAGGATTGATGTCCGTTTTGGGGCCTGCCTTCTCTGCCCTGCCTCTGGAGTGAGTCCGCCTCAGTGGAGGAACCTGGGGGCTGGGATTAGGGCCGTGGAGCCCCGGGAACTAGCATGTGCCTTGACCAATGCCTCCTGACCTTGGCAGGTGCAGCTGGTCCAGGACCCAGCGACTGGAGGGACCTTCGTGGTGAAGGCAGGTGCCACCGAGCCCCCTCCATTCTGCATTCCCCGTGGGACTTTCTCAGAGCTCTTAGACCCCGCTACCCTCTAGGGAACCCCCTACCCAGAACCTCTATATGAAGTCCATGCTCCCTCCAAATCCGAAAGCCACTTGTCCTGCCCTGAGTGTGCCCCAGCCCTCCAGGCACACACACTTCACTGCCTCCTCCTGGCCCAGGAGGTGGGGGACCTGGATGGCATAGGGAAGACAGGGGTGAGGGCCAGGGCAGGAAGTGGGGGAGGCAGTTGCTCCTCAGGTTGGCTCCCCTCCCTCATCCGGTGGCCACTGAAGCTGGGGCTCTGACGTCCCCTAGCAGAGCAGCCTCTGGCCTGCCCCCTCCCCAGAGCCTGTCCAGGTGTCACACGGCGAGCCGGGAGCGGCTGACCATCATCCCGCACGGGGTCCCCTACATGACCAAGCTGCTGCGGTACTTTGTCAGCGAGGACTCCATCTTCCTGCACCTGGAGCACGTGCAAGGTGAGGGGCCTTGGGGAGGTGTCCCCTTTCATGCCCTTAAAATGCCAAAACCGAGGGAGTGGGTAACTCGCACCAGGTGTGCAGCACAGACCAGGGCCCGGCCTTGCTGGAGGGTGACGGCCGGGTCAGGCTGTGTGGGCCCCAGGGGTGCTGAGGGGCAGGGACATCCTGGGGAAGATGTTCACGTAGGGCTGGCGAGAGGACACGTATGCAGGTGTCCCCTTTGTCACCATGTCCTCCAGTCCTGGCTCTTCATTTTTCTAGTCTGCGCCCATCCCTCGAAGTGCCCCGTGGGGTGGTGGTTCTGAAGCTTTAAGGACAGGAGCTGGTCATGTAGCAGATATTTATTGATCTCCTGTTAGGGTGATGAGATTTAAAAAAATATATATATATATATATATATTTATTAATTGATTTCAGAGAGGAAGGGAGAGAGAGATAGAAACATCGATGATGAGAGACAATCATTGGTTGGCTGCCTCCTGCATACCCCCTACTGGGGATCGAGCCCACAACCCGGGCACGAATCAAACCCGGACCCTTCAGTCCACAGGCCGACGTTCTATCCACTGAGCAAAACCGGCTAGGGCAGGTGATGAGATTTTTTTAATGAGGTGCACATTCTAGTTCATAACATAGAGCAGGGGTCCTCAAACTACGGCCTGCGGGCCACATGCAAATACAAATATTGCATTTGTTCCCGTTTTGTTTTTTTACTTCAAAATAAGGTATGTGCAGTGTGCATAGGAATTTGTTCATAGTTTTTTTTAAAACTATAGTCTGGCCCTCCAACGGTCCTAGGGACAGTGAACTGGCCCCCTGTTTAAAAAGTTTGAGGACCCCTGACATAGAGTCATCACAGGTCCATGCCCGGCCTTCTTTTATTTTACTAACTTACATTTCATTGTACTATTGTCCCTAGGAATTTTTAAATGTCTATATGTATAAAATATATTGAACACTGGTAAACCAACACCAAAACCAAGGACATTAACAATAATTCACATTTCCTTAGGGGTTAAGCACCTATTTCGTGCCAGATGGGGAGGCTGGGTCCTCTCTAGGTGAGTGACAGGAAGGAGAGGTCAGGTTCAGGCCCTGGGAGGGAGGAGCAGAGGCGAGGACCGGACCGGAGGGCAGAGGATCCGCAGGGTGGGGCCGGACCCGGTGTCCATGCTCTTCTTCTCCCATCCCCATGCTGGCCGCTCCCTCCGCCTGGCCCAGGAGGCACGCTCTGGTCCCACCTGCTCTCCCAGGCACGCCCCCAGCAGTCTGGCCTCAGGTCTGGCTCCAGCCTGGAGAGGATGAAGGCTCAGCTCAACTCCCGCCTCAGCCTCCGGACCCCAACGCTGCTGCCCCCTGGCCACACCCGCCTGCAGGACAGAGTGCCGCTGGAGTCTCCTTGGACTTGCCGGAGCCTTGCCCCAGCCAGGGAGGTCCCACCCGTCAGACCCCAGAGAGAGGCCGAAGGTGCACCCTCAGCCAGGACCAGCACTTCCTGCTCCTCGGACCCCCCGAAGGCTCCCGGTGGCCGTCTGCACCTCCAGTCCCGGAGAGAACCTGGCCAGACCTCAGACACTGGGACCCCTTGGGGGCTCTCTTGGGTTCGCGAGGGGGCAGGCCGGGTGCTGGGGGGCTGTGGCCGCAGCAGAGGTCAGAGCTGCCCCTCAGTGGACAAGGCCAGCCGGGGGTCTGGCGGGGGCGCCTGGAGCATGAGGGAAGAGCAGGTCAAGCAGTGGGCGGCTGAGACGCTGGTGGCCCTGGAGGCGCTGCATGAGCAGGGCGTGCTGTGCCGGGACCTCAATCCCCGGAACCTGCTCCTGGACCAAGCAGGTAGGTGCCCAGGCCTGGGGGAGGGGAGTACGGGGGGGGGGGGGGGGGCGCGGGCAAAGCCTCAAGACGGAGGAGAGTGCCACGAATTCGAGGGAATGGCGGAGGTTATCTGCTTCCCCAGCCTTTTTTTGTTGTTGTTAATATATTTGTCTTGATTTCAGAGAGGGGGGGAGAGAGAGAGAGAGAGAGAAACATCAATGATGAGAGGGAATCATTGATTGGCTGCCTCCTGTAGGCCCCATACAGGGGATCGAGCCCACAATCCAGGCATGTGCCCTGACCGGGAATTAAACAGTGACCTCCTGGTTCAAAGGTGGACGCTCAACCACTGAGCCACACCAGCCAGCCTCCCACCCCCCTTCTCCCCGCCAAGTCTTTTCACACAAGACTCTGCGAAGTCTCCAAGGATGAGTCTGGAAACAAGCCCCTTCGGGCCCAGGAGTCCAGGGCAGCAGCTCCTATACCCAGCTTCCGGGCCTCAGGGCTGCATGCCCCTAGGGAGGCTGTGCTTAGTGAGGCCAGTGGCTCCTGCCTTGTGTTGGGGGACGTCCTGGAGGCCCCTCCCCCAGGCCCGCTGCTCAGCAATGACTGAAGGTTTTCTTGTCCCCCTTCCATCCCCTGTGCACTGACGGGAAGGTCATGTCCGGCTCACGTACTTTGGCCAGTGGTCAGAGGTGGAGCCCCAGTGCTGCCGGGAGGCTGTGGACAACCTCTACAGTGCCCCAGGCAAGGAGGGGGGGCAGGGCCCTGGACCCCGTGCCTTTGTGTTGGTGAACCTGGGGGGGTGGTGGGTGAGGGGGACAGGGGATGGGCCGGGTCTGGGTGGGATGAATAGAAGGGAGACCCACCTTCTCGGGGAAGGTGAGGACATTTGTGTTCTTGCTCCCGCAGAGGTGGGTGGGATTTCTGAGCTGACGGAAGCCTGTGACTGGTGGAGCTTTGGGTCCCTGCTGTATGAACTGCTGACTGGAACGGTGAGTGGCGGGGCAGGGTGTGGGGCCTTGTGGGGGTCACTGGGGACAGGGTGGCCTGGGCTTGATACAACCAGCCCACGTCGGGCTCAGGCTGCCTGGTGCTCCTCCCCAGCTCACCCCCACAGGCCACGAGAGACGCAGGGAGCCACTGCCACCCAGCCCGTGGGCACACTTGGTACCCCCCTCCCCCATGCTGTAGCTGGTGGGACTGCCAATGTCAGAGGGTGAGAGCTGAGTTGGGTGGTCAGGGTGGGTTTTGGAGGAAGGGTGGGATTGGACAGCTCTTCTTCCCCGTAAGGCGCCTGGCTCACCCCCTCAGCCGCTTCCCCCTGCTCACTTCCCACCCCCGATGGCCTCCTGGGCTGTCACCCCCAGACTTTGGCTGAAGAACAGGAGAGAGGGCCTCCTGGATGCAGGCCAGCCGCTGTCCATCCAGCCTGGGTCAGCCAAGAGCTCCAGGTTTCCCCGGCAAACGCCCTTGCTCAGGATGGCGGCTTCTGCCCTCTGTCCACCCGATGAGCTCAGCTCTGCACCTGGGGCTGGTGAGGTCAGACAGCAAGGGAAAGGCCGAAGCGCCTTTCAGCAGGAAATAGCCAGAGAGGATGCAGTGTGACCTGAAGCCCAGGTCGGACCAGTTCACCGTGGCTGCCTCCTGCTTTTGTCCTGTAGCCCAGGGCCTCTGAGAGGCCTGGCTGCAAACAGCTGCTCTCCCCTCTCAGCCTCCCGCCACCTCTCTAGCCTGAGCTTCTGGCCTTCCTCCTGGTCGCTTCTTGCAGCTCATCCTGACCTCCAGACAGACCTCCTTGCTCTCCACAGCTGCACCCTGCTGGATTAGAGGCCCTGCCTTCCCTCACCACAGCCCTGCCTTGGCGCGGCTGGAGCACGCCGTGGCCTGCTGCCAAATGGGTGGCCCGTAGAGGGTTGTGTTGTTGTTTTTCTGTGTGAAGACAAGTTCCAATACTCATCCTGAAGTGCCGGTCCTGATTGCAGCCCAAGAGCAATGCATCGAGCGAGCTTAGAGCCAGACGGACCTGGGTTCAAACCCTACCCTCAGCATCAGTCCCTTCACCTCTCAGCCTGCTTTTGTCTCTCCAATGCGATACTTGTATGTCCTCTGAGAGGGGCTGTGGGAGTGTGAAGAATGGCTGTCAGGCATCTAGCGCCGCCTGGCATACAGTAGATCCAAAGCAGATCCAATGGTCTGCATTATCATCATCCCATGGAATGTGACCCGGGGAAAAATAAAACCCTGGCTGCCGCTGGGGTGTGCAGACTTTCCAGGGGTTGCCTCCTGAGGCCCCTCCCTGTGTCTTCCCAGGCCCTATCCCAGAGCCACCCCTCAGGAATCCAGCCCCACACCCAGCTCCAGCTGCCTGAATGGCTCAGTCCCCCAGCAGCCTCCCTGCTGACGGAGGTGAGGTCAGCCGGCCCAGCAGAGGCGGCTCCTTGGCTTGAGGGTGGGCGCTGGGAGGGCAGAACCCTGTGTGTGAACAAGCATGCTGCTCCTGGGTGGCTGATGTGGGTGCAGGAGGTTACAAAGTTCTCTATATGTTGGTGGCCAAACACCACCAGTGTGTTCCCCAGGGTAAAACTGGGGGTTCTGTGGGCTGGGCTGGCAGGGAGTGAGCCCCCGGGGCCAGGGCGACAAGTCCCCGGAAGTCCGCCCACACCTCAGCCATGGGGCTGGGAAGGCCTGCCAGGCGCTGAACGGGCCTTTCTCCACAGCTACTGCAGTTCGATGCCAGCAGGCGCCTGGGAGCTGGAGCGGGCGGTGTCAACAGACTCAAGTCCCACCCCTTTTTCAGTACCATCCAGTGGAGCAAGCTGGTGGGGTAAGAGAGGGTGGAGCGGGCGATGGAAGCAGCCGGACTGGTCTGAGTCCCCTCTCTTCTCTTCGCCTGTCATCCTGTCACTCTGAGCTGACCCTCATCCTGTCACTTTAACCAGCGGCCTCTGCAAAGAATGTGGGTCAGCCGCCTTTCCTGCTGGGCTCTGCTCCCTCCTGTGGGCTCAGAAGCCATCATCGCCGCTGTCCCTAGGGGGTCTCCCCGCCAGCTCTTGGAGGAACCCTTTCTGGTCACTGCTGATGGGAAGGGACAGGACAGAGCTCACCCTGCTAGGTGGCTTGGGGCCCTCCATCCACCCATCAGTCAACAGAGACCTGTTGAGCGCACACCCTGAGCCTTGAACACAGACCTACCCCGTTAAAGGGTGCCTTCTGTCACATTCGCTCCGAAGTACTGACCACCTGCTGAGCCAACCTTGAGGTTTTGTGATTCGCTACCTGCCATGTTGTGCCCTACTCGGGACATCTCTGGAGACTTATCTCAGGATACTGGTCCACTGGCTTCGTGGACTCAAATTAGGGCTGCCCTGGCTGATACCTTAGCCGTGTCAATAGTGGCCTCTTCTATCAGACTCCTCCTGCGTGGGGTGGGGAGGCCGGGGACGCAGGGAAGATGTCTGTAGTGAGCATGCAGTGAGGTGGGGAACAGGGTGATCCACTCCCCCTCCTGACCATGCCCCTGTCTTGCAATTTCAGACTCTGAAGAGCAAAAGGAAGAGGGGCATGGGGGAGGAAACAGGGATTAGGAGGAGAGGAGAGGGCACCTTTGCCAATTAGAGCAATTTTAGAAGCAGAATAAGACCTCCCCTCCCTAGCTAGCCCACTGGGGTGGAAAGGGGAGCCTGCCCCATAGGTCTGAGAGACCTCAGTTCAGCCTCCAGGCGGAAGCTGCTAAGACAAGCTGGACCCACTAGGATTCCCTTCTCAGGCATTGGTCCTGTTTACCAATTTGCATTTTAGTCTTGAGGGTCCACTCAATTCATTGCCTACTGTGACTTCATCCCCTTTTGAAATGAATAACACAGAGAATGATTGCCCAGGCTTCTAGCCAGAAGCAAGATGTTTGGTCTCTGAAACTGGGATAAGTAGTTACCCCAAATACAATCCCGTCCTCGGGTTTGGGGGCTTTTTCCTCTCAGGGCTCACCCTGTCACTGGGGTGTGGCAACTAAAACTTTCACCAGACCTCTGCCCCCAACCCCTTGCCTTGTGTCTGCTATACCACCAGGTGGCGGCCTTGACACTCATCTCCATTCTGATTGTGAAGGGGGGGGAACTGGGTTGTGAGGGAGGCTGGAGTGACTTGGGCAGAGGACATAGGGAAGCACAGCCTGGTATGGTCCTGGTTTCTCTGGGGCGTGTCCATACCATCTTGGCCCCAATAAAAGCCTGATGTTGCCTGTGGTGTTCTTGCCTCATTAATGCAACGAGAGCCACCCTGTCGGGACAGGAAGACTGGAAGGCTCCCCCAATGAAGCTCCATGACAGTCAACAGTGAACTTGGAGTCCACTAGGAAGTAGGAAGCAGGGCTGGTTGTAGACCCACCCGCATGCCAGCCTGTGCTCTGCAGAGCAGCACTGAGCCCAAGGGGAAGTGCTGGCATAGAGGGGCACTGGGCTCCATGGGAAATAAAAGACAAGCCTTAGAAGAGGGTCATGATGCCTGGGGGGGGAATAGTTTAATCTTCAGTGACCCCTTGAGACAGGCAGTGGCTCCTACTCGGGTTAATGACGCCCTAGCTGGTTTGGTGCAGTGGATAGAGTGTCGGCCTGCAGACTGAAGGTTCCTGGGTTCAATTTGTCAAGGGCACATGCCTGGGTTGCAGGCTTGATCCCCAGTAGGGGGTGTGCAGGAGGCAGCCCAGCAATGATTCTCATCGTCACTGATGTTTCTCTCTCCTTTCCTCTCTGACACACACACACACACACACGAGGTTAATGACAAGGTCTGATGGGAGCCTAGTGGAGCTTGTTCAGTCTTCCTTTGCTACACTCCCTAAGTCAGGCCAAACCACCTCCAACCACTGCTGCAAGTCCAGTTTGCTTCTGGAACCCCTGGGCCCCATCTGTGCAATAAACAATGCACATGTGGCACTGTGCCAGGCTCTAAGCCAGAGTCCTGTAGTCCCAGACCTTATGGGGCTTACAATCTACCTCCTTGTAAATTTACTAGAGAAATGAAAGCTAGCACCAGGTCCTGGGCCTAACAGAAAATTCTAAAATTCCTTTCATTGAACCCAAATTCTACCCTCAGGGAGCCACTCTGTTCCTGGGGCAGACCTTCATACAGAGATGGCACCACTGTAAGCAAGATCAGCAGGCACCGACTGTGTGGAAAGACCGGGTATATTTAAGCCTGGAGACCATCATGCCAGTCACCTGGAGTCAGTCTAGGTTAACTGTCCCTCTCCCTCGCAGACCACCGCTCCCAGGAGGTAATCGACCCTCATGGTTCTTACTGACCTTGGTATCCATCCCAGAAATAATGCAAGTGTGTTGGTGTTTGCAGGAGCCTCAAAGGTGGGAACCAGTCTCTGCCCAAGAGCCCGGCTTGCCAGGCTTTGAGGGGTCAATGGAAGGAGGGAGGGCGCTTCCCTGCCTGCAGACAGCCCAGTTCCATTTTTTGTCAAATCAGTGCAGTGTTAACTTACTTTAAAACTCAGGTATCACAGGGTAACCAAAGGGACCTTAGGTGGCTTTCAGTGCCAATAACCAGTGTTGGAGACTTAACCTCAGTAACCAAAATGAACACAGAAGAGACGGGAACTCTGTTTGAGAACTTTTGCCCTTTAATTTGCATTTAAAATCGGTTTCTTTAAATATTTCAGTTACGAGTTCTGAATAGTGAAGACATAGCAGATGCTGCAGGCACTCAGTATTGGCTCCCATCCCTTCCCCCCACCCGTCCCCCAGGCCTTACTTCTTCGAGATACAAGTGGGCACTCTGCACTAAGTAAGTGGCTCCCATGTCAGGTGTCAGCAGCCTCAGGCCTGAATGCAGTTGGATTTAAAGCAATGAAGCCTGGTAGCTTTCATGACAAGACGTGTACATTTAACCATGTTCCAAGGAATTCCAATGACTGTGTCCAGACCCATCAGGCAGTACCTCAGAGGCGACATCAGTCACTTCCCCCGTGTACTGGCATCTTGGGGCTGGTTCCCACCAGTCCACCCTGCCCTAGACCTGTGCTCTGCAGAAGAGCCAAGGCCCCACTTCCCAAGGGCCGTGATCAGGAAAGAACAGAACTGCCTCTTCAGTCACATGCTCATACCAATGGAATTTAAAAGCTCAAGTCAATCCGAGCCTGTCCACAGGAAGCCTCCCCCGCCCCAATCTCTACCAGGCTCCAGTCCATCCTCCACTGCCTTGATGTACTAGAATCGGCTCCAGATGAGAACAATGTGCTAGAACGGTTCCTAGCAACCTAGAAAGGTTGGCACAACCATAGCTGTGCCAAAATGGGTTTTCCTGGTGTGAGGCTATGACAGAGAATGTGAGGGCAGGCCTGGCTTCTGTTCTCTTGTTTATAGCTATGACCTCAGGGGGAATCTGCCCTCTCCCCCTCCACACTGCCAACACCTCTCCTACCCAGGTCCCCCGGCCTGTGCTTCCTGAAAGAGGTAGTAGAAGCATCCTGAAGTCAATGACAGCTGAGAAGGAAGGTGCATTTAGCAGCAAAGCAGCACCTTGGCCTGTGGTCAATACCTCCACACAGGTGGAATCAAGTGAGAATGTGCACAGCCAGGGCAGACAGGCTGCTCCGAGTGTGGGAGGCACAACCCTCCCAGGCAGCTCTGGAGAACACTTTCAAAAGACTGAAACTTAATACCATGGTCCCCAGTGGTTTCCCTATCGTGTACTGGCACGGGGGAGAAGCAAAATTATCTCGGCAGAGGGTTAATGAAGAAAGGCAGGGATATTAATGAGCATCTGTGAAGGCTCTCTCTTTCTCTCCCTCAAGCCTAAGGAAATAAGATATTCGAGTGCTGAGAGGGGGGAGAGAGGGAGAGAGAGGGAGAGGAGAGAGGAGAGGGAGAGAGAGAGAGAGAGAGAGAGAGAGAGAGAGAGAGAGAGAGAGAGAGAGAGAGAGAACGCGCGCGCTGGTAGGAACACCAAGAAAGACCTGCGACTGCTGGTTATATAGTGCCCTGGCTTCCTTGCTTGAGGCCAACAGCATGTGCCTGTCTGTCGCCAGGCGAACCCGGGACCCACGTGGGGCAGAGAGAAGACTGGTTTTCAGTTCCTGCGTGGTCAATGTGTTGGGTGTGTGACTTCCTCCTAAAGGTCCATTAGGAGGATTCTGGGATCCTCTACCGCTGCCTTGATTTTTCGGAGGAAAGTCACAGCCTCTCTGCCGTCGATTAGCCGGTGATCATAGGTCAGTGCCACGAACATCATGGGCCGCACCTCCACCTACAGGGAGAGGAGGGGTATAGATTTGTCTGCAGTAGCAGAAAAGCCCCATGGAAGTGGGGAAATGAGAAAAGTTCTGTTCCTTTCCTATTGGTGTTGCTCTAGATACAATATTTTCGAAGACCAAGCCTTATCCTTAGTGCACAGCCCCCCTGCTTGCCCCACTCTGAGACGAAGAATAGGAGTCTCCGCACAACTGCCTTTTTAAACACACTTTACTCTTCATTCGTTTCCTAAAGTTCCCCTTTCAGTCTGGCTTTAGGGTTATAAATTTAAACCTGGGGTCCACAAATTCTCTGAAATTGTATGTAAAGTAGGGTGTGTGAGCATTTTCGGGGGGAGTGGCGGGGGGGGGGGGCGCGGGAAGATCTATGATTTCAGACTCACAAAGGAGTTAGTGACCCAAGAAAGTTTGAAACGCAGTCCCAGAAAATGTTTTCCTCCTGACATGTCTTTTGGGGCCAGCTCGACCCTGGGACTTCCTTCCCTGAATTCCCAGAGAACCTCTAAGCCTTACCCTACACTTGGAAGCTCGCGGACTGCTCTGCATTATCCTTTTCCCAGGCAAGGACCAGGTCCCCAACTGTATCCCCACTATCTACAGCACCTTTGAGAATGAAGCCGGCTGACTGTCCTAGATGAAGGAGCAAGCTTTCCTAGCTCAACTGTCCTCAAACTTGACTGCACCAGAATCATCTGCAGTTTCTGCTTCAACAAGTCCAAAAGGGGCTCCAAGATTGTGCATTTCTGGTAAGTTCCCAGATGATGCTGATCCACACACCACAATGAGAATCAGTGCCTTAGCTTTAATTAGAAACTAAGAGATGAAACTTAAGCCTAAAATTACAGTGAATCTCACAATTAGCACTTAGTAAGATTTCCCTCTCATCACCTAACTCCTAGGACATGAACAGTGATGGTTCTTACCTTGCCTCCCACAGCCACTGGCCTATCAAAGATGGCGTGCATGCCTAGGATGGCAGACTGAGGGGGGTTGATAATGGGTGTTCCAAAGAGGGAGCCGAAAACACCTCCATTGCTAATGGTGAAAGTACCACCATCCATATCTTCAATGGCGAGTTCATTCTTCCGGGCCTAAAAACAGAAATTACATCATTGCAATTTAAGGTCAGATGAGCTTTCTTCACCTAAAGGAAGTCCAGAAAGCTCATATCTGAGGTCAACATGGCAAGACCCAGCTGTAACATGAAAGTTGTTCAACTGAGCCCAGCCAGTGTGGCTCAGCAGTTGAGCGTAGACCTATGAACCAGGAAGTCATGGTTCGATTCCTGGTTAGGGCATATGCCCAGTTGCAGGCTCTATCCCCAGTGTGGGGCATACAGGAGGCAGCTGATCAATGAGTCCGTCTCTGTCTCCGTCTCCGTCTCCGTCTCTCTCTCTCTCTCTCTCTCCCTCCCTCTCCCTCTCCCTCTCTCTGAAATCAATAAAAAAATATATATTTTTTTTAAAAGGAAATTTTCCAGCTGAGATGCTCCACCAAAGGACAGACACAAGGCCTTCAGGTCCTTTTCTGTTCCAGCAGGTTCACTTGACGAGATCTTCAGTCATGAGAGCATGCTAAGCTCTGCCCAATGTCTGCACTTCAGCTCTAGTGGGTGAGAGGCTATGCACTCTTACGGAACAACGTGAGGCTCCAGCTCTCCGAGAATTGCTCACTGGCAAGCCCTGCCTTCCCCGGGCTGCTTCCCTGCCCTGCCCTGCAGCTGAAACACATGCTGCGTTCTACTTTACCTTCTCTCCCAGTTCAAAGATGGTTCGCTCAATATCTGCATAATTCATTGTTTCCACGTTCCTGATGACGGGAACCACCAGGCCCTGATGAAAGTGAAAAGCGTTTTCAGTTGCAAATTAATAGCACCCTGTACAGTTATAACTCCCTGATTCAAGTCAATGGTCTCCCCTTCCCAGAATATCTAATTACTCAATTTGATTAACACAGTCTAAAATATTTAGGCTTATGCTGGGGTCCAACCCCAGCGGGTCCAGGGGTCCCCAAAAGGTGTGGATGGAGTCGGCGAAGAAGGAATGACACGGAGACAGCGTTCAGTTGATCAGCAGCCCATCCAGGATCTCCAGCCAGGTTCTGGTCAGGATCTCCATAGAGGTTCTGGTTAGGACCTCTTGCCAGGTTCTGTGTCCATGTTCTCTTGCTAGGTTCTCCAGCTAGGTTCTGTAGCCATGTTCCCTTGCTAGGTTCTCCAGCCAGGTTCTGTCCAGGTTCTCCAGCCAGGTTCAGTCACCAGGTTCTAGTCAGGTTCTCTTGCCAATTTCTGTAGTCAGGTTCAGTCCAGGATCTTTTGCCATGTTCTCTCCAGCGAAGTTCTTCTGTCTGTAGGTTCTGTGTTCTAAGCTCTGTATTCTAAGTTCTGTGTTCTAAGTTCTGTGTTCTAAGTTCTGTCTTGCTGTCTTGTTACATCTGTATTTATACCAGTTGATTCAATCCCATCAATCTCTATTTCAAAGGTTAGGGCGTTTCTTATCTCCATTCCAGGGAGTAAAGATTATGTAGCTTAAGCATGATTGTTCGTAGTTAAAGTGATTAATTACCCACCTGGCACTTAGTTAAGAGGTTTTATTCCCTCCCTAACTTCAGGGGAAAATCCCTACCTGGGGGAACAACCTTTCTCAGAGACCTTGGTTAAAACACATAGTGCCAAGAAGGTGAGCAAACATATTAAGAACAGTATGCCATATATGCCAGGTCCCTTGAAACAGCAAGCATGGACCGGCTCCTGGCAAATTCCCCCTTTTTTATTTTTTAAAAGCGGGCATTAAAAAGAAAAACCTGAAATGCTCTCTTGTATCCATTTTAAGAGTAGGATTGGCGCTTTCCGCTATTACCTGAGTCCTGATCTATCACCCCAGGGAGAGCTTGCCAATCCTGCACTTTCCCGGGGTGGAAAGGCTGCAGTGGGGTTAAGGATAAGGCTCCTTGGGCCTACCTTCTCCCATGCCATTACATTTACCTTTCCTTCCTCAGAAAAGCATGGACATATTTCTTGTATAAAACGTTCTGTCTGACTGGGAGTAACCTTAATTCCTCTGCTAGCAAGCGTATATGTTAAAAGATCAATACAGAGTCTTTTTTCTTTAGACTCAGTATGGCACATCTTCTTAATCTAAAGATCAATACAGAGTCTTCTTTCTTTGGACTCAGTATGGCACATCTTCTCAATCTAAGTTCTGTACTATCCACCTTCTTACCCTACTTATCCTCTATAGGGGGGGTCTTCAGTATCCTGGTGGAGTCCTATCCGTCCCGAGTGTGGGGTTCTCAATGGGGAGGGCTTACCTAGGGGAATCCTGTTCCAGGGATTCCCAAAGATGTGGACGGAGTCGGCGAAGACTATCCACCCTCTTCCTATGGTGGAGTCTGATCCGTCCCGATTGTGGGGCAAAGACTATCCACCCTCTTCCTACGGTGGAGTCCTATCCGTCCCGAGTGTGGGGCGCTTACCTAGGGGTCCCTGTTCGGGCGCCATATGCCAGGGTCCAACCCCAGCAGGTCCAGGGGTCCCCAAAGGTGTGGATGGAGTCGGCTAAGAAGGAATGACATGGAGACATCATTCAGTTCATCAGCAGCCTAGCCAGGATCTCCAGCCAAGTTCTGGTCTGGATCTACAGCGAAGTTCTGGTTAGGATCTCCAGCCCGGTTCTGTTCAGGTTCTCCAGCCAGGTTCAGTCACCAGGTTCTAGTCAGGTTCTCTTGCCAATTTCTGTAGTCAGGTTCAGTCCAGGATCTTTTGCCATGTTCTCTCCAGCGAAGTTCTTCTGTCTGTAAGTTCTGTGTTCTAAGTTCTGTGTTCTAAGTTCTGTCTTGCTGTCTTGTTACATCTGTATTTATACCAGTTGATTCAATCCCATCAATCTCTATTTCAAAGGTTAGGGCGTTTCTTATCTCCATTCCAGGGAGTAAAGATTATGTAGCTTAAGCATGATTGTTCGTAGTTAAAGTGATTAATTACCCACCTGGCACTTAGTTAAGAGGTTTTATTCCCTCCCTAACTTCAGGGGAAAATCCCTACCTGGGGGAACAACCTTTCTCAGAGACCTTGGTTAAAACACATAGTGCCAAGAAGGTGAGCAAACATATTAAGAACAGTATGCCATATATGCCAGGTCCCTTGAAACAGCAAGCATGGACCGGCTCCCGGCAGGCTTAACATTAAAAGAATGTGGTATGTTCAAAAATAGGTTACTCTTTTATTATCCCCTTCTAAAAAGACAGAATTACAGACATGATCTGTGCCTAGCTGTCTGCTTCTTCACACAAATAAAGGTGAGAATCTAAGACGAGAACTCCCATCTCCTGTCCCAACATACCCGTGGGGTGGCCACCGCAACACTGATGTCAATATAATCCCTATATACCACCTCTTTGGTTGTATCGTCAATCACTGCAAGAGAGAAAACACGTGTTACATACAACTCCTGAGGCCTAGGCTAATGAGGTAATATTTGCATTAATAGAGTAACAATCCACAGTGCCTGGTACAGTGTGAGCTGACCAATCAGTATGAAAAAAAGCACTGCATTACCAGTGGCAAACTCCTCTCACTCCCATACTAACCAATCAAAACATCTCCCAATGCCCTCACTGAGCCCGACTGCCTGAGCATAGGGCACCATTTCTTTGGCAGCCCTCGCACGGGCTCAGTCCACTGGCTCACATACGGTAAGTATGCATTTAGTTCCTGTGAACAAGCCTTCCCTTAGCTGAGAACCGCTGGGTTTTGCCCGTCTGCTGTCAACTCGCAAAGGGGACAAGGCAGGAGGGAAGGCTCTTCTAGGAGGTTCAGGAGGAAGCAGGGTGATCTGGCTTTAATCGTGACAGCAAACAGCAGCTGCACATTTAGGCCTAGTGCTCATGAAAAAATAGGCTTGGGAATCTTTTCCGCAGAAAGTGTATGTTGTATTGTTAGACAAAGACACCAGGAAAAGCATGTAAATGACAAAGAGGCCACAAGAACTCAGAAATGCCTAGGTGTATGGGCAGGCAGACGACCAGAGAGTGCCAATCAGGAAGCATAAGAAGAATGGAAGAAATAAAGAGGTAATATATGGGTAAAACAAGGACAGCCCTCCTATCTACCTAGGGCATATCACTTGATGGAAGGGACTAGGGCAGGGGTCCTCAAACTACGGCCCCGCAGGCCACATGCAAATACAAATATTGTATTTGTTCCCGTTTTGTTTTTTTACTTCAAAATAAGATATGTGCAGTGTGCATAGGAATTTGTTCATAGTTTTTTTTTTAAACTATAGTCCGGCCCTCCAACGTCTGAGGGACAGTGAATTGGCCCCCTGTTTAAAAAGTTTGAGGACCGCTGGACTAGGGCTTCTATTTCTAGATCTTTAGGGACCCTGGCCTTGCTGAGGGTTGCAAAAGTGTCAATGTCACTTCTCCAGTCTTTCAGGGAACAGAGAAGTGTCTCAATGGGAAAGAACTGCTTGATAGGTCAACATTTCAATGATGTAGGCGAATAACACAAAGAAAACGAGCACAATCTTCCAATGAGGCCCATCAACCAGAAACCAAAGGTCACCCTGGAGCCTATGCCAAGTGTGGAAGTCAGGCCCCAAGACAACAGAGCCCTGGGGAAGGTGAGGAGTGCCAGACAGGACATGAGCTTCCACCCTGACATGAGGGGCCTGGAGAGCTGAGCTGGCTGAGAACTTCCGAGCTATGTGCTAGAAAGAGAAGTCACTCTGTCCATTTAATGGGGACAAAGTAATGATGATACTATTTCAGGAAGGCGAGCCAAGAAATCCCTAAGAAACACACTCATGTTTTCACAGGTATGAAATTAAAAGTTTGTCTGCCTGGCCAGTGTGGCTCCATGGTTGAGCATTGACATATGAATCAAGGAGGTCATGGTTCGATTCCGGGTCAGGGCACATGTATAGGTTGCAGCATTGATCCCCAGTAGGGGGCGTGCAGGACGCAGCCAATCAATTATTCTTTCATCACTGATGTTTCTATCCCTCTCTCCCTCTCCCTTCCTCTCTAAAATCAATAAAAATGTATTTTTTAAAGTTTGGTCTGATGACCCCCACCCTTGTGTCTGTGTTTGTGGGAGCAGTTCTGTGTTCATGCACATACCTCCCAGGACCTCTGCAATGCTGGCCACCACAAACTCACCTGCATTTACAACAGGCTGTTCCTGCAAGGCAAAGGCTGAGGCCTTCACAAATGCCGACATGAAGCCCAGTTTGAGGTTATGTTTCTTCAGAAAAGCATCTTTGTGCCGGGCCCTCATATCCTGGATGTTACTGCAAAAACACATTACAAAGCAAACTGACTATAAGTGAAGCCTTGATTCTGACTTTCATACTAGTTTCCAACTCCATGTACATGATTGAGTAAGCTTTTCCCCTTCACTCTGTACCGTAAAGTTCAAGTTTTGAAATAGTCCACTAAAGGTCAACACAGTAACCTTCCTTGTTCCTTTACCAAAAAAACCTGGATACAAAGGAATCAGGTCCAAGCTTTCTTTAAGGTGGGCTGAGCCCTGGACAGGCTCCTTCATAATCCATAAGTCAGAGATTTCAGTGACAAGATAATATGGACAAGAACTCACACAGCACACCAACATCCTTGCCCTGGATGAGAAAGTGATTTCTAGCTACACTAAAATCATGAGCTACCTACCCTGGGGGGAAAATGTTTTTAAGCATAAAATCCACAAAATAAACAGTATTCTTTTTCTTATTAAAATTATTTTTTAAAAACCACCAAACCTGATTACAACTTCCTTATGACATGCCTCCTATCTCCTAATTAAGACAAAAACAAACCAACAAACAAAAATTGCACAGGTAAATGGGCTCCCTGTGAGCAAAAGCAGTCATACAGAAGAGTATAACCCAGTGTTCTTTCAAGTTGATGGCAAAGTCAGTAGATTCATTCTTCATCTCCCAGAGTAATCAGCTCCATCACTTGTTCCTTCAAACAGGTGCCCCACTACATGCGAGGGTCAATGCTGGACACAACGATAATCAAGACACAGCTCTTGCCCTTAGGACCTGTTTAATGGGTGTGGATTCCTTGGTATTTAGGAACGTGGCCATGTGTGAACCTGAGCTCCCCAAGTGTGAGCAGCAGTGCCTTCTGAGAAGTCTCTACGAGAACAGCCTTTGCGCCTTCGGGACCGGGTTTTCTGCATACACACCATGTGCGTACTGCAGTGAGTGGAAAATGGCTTTCCCATCATTTAGCTGAAGAAACCCCAGTATTTATCGAAATAAAGTTCTGTGATGGAAATCGAATTTAACTTTATTTCAGGCCCAAATGCTCAGTTCTCCCTATAATGGCCTAATTCAACATTAGCATGAAAGATAAGATGATATAACTTTAACTCATCCTTTCAGACCTTTTGTTTTTCAAAAAGGAAGTTTTCCTAGGAGGATTGATTGAGTTTAAATGTTTGTTTTCCTGAGTCTAACCTTATTTAGTGCTAGGATTACCACCCTAAAGACATTACTGGTTCCCAAGACACAAGAGCTGCAGAAGAGGGAAAGAGAAGTGATCAACATCTCTGCTCTCAAACCTGCCCCAATGCTATTGTCTGGTCATTAAGTAGTTTCTATTTCAGAGCTCTGTCCTTGGAGGCAGAGGCTGGGACAACAGGGATAGGAGAAGGTTTCTCAGAAAGGCCCCTTATGGGTTAGCTGATCAGCACAAGACCCAAAGGGCACTCGATCTAAACCAAATTACTGACTGCAGCGAGACCCCAGGCCATTGTTAAGTGACACCTCGATTAGCTGCTAAAAGGAGACCAAACTATTATTCCTACCTTCCAATCAAAGCTGTTGAGCCAACTGAATCTTTCAAGGCCACAAATATTTACATGTTTTGTCTTAAGAAATTGGGTAGAATTTCAAAGTCCAATTCAATTTGTGCACAATTTGGCCCTAATGCATTGAAACCTAAGCTGCAGACTTTGTGATTTATTAGTCAAGGTTCTTCCCCACATCCGATAGACAGGGGAGAAATCTCTAGCTTGAATGACATCCGATCTTTTTAAGAAACTTCACAACAGAATAGATGATATCTAGTGAAATAGGCCACAGAGCCCTCCTCTGCAAGCAATGCACACGGTCAAAAACCATCCCCTCCTCTACACTTTTCAGATCCCTTCCAAAGGAAAACAAATTTCCCTAATGAAAAGTAGACTAAACACTTAGGACCAAAAGAAACAAAGAAATGCCCTGAAGACTCAATGACTTACCCCTGAATTAAATATAAACTCGTATCCCTGTTATTCCATTCCTTCTCATACACATTCCTCAGAGCAAATTTCTCAAATGTGTTTTGTGCTATCCTGTCTGTCAAGTTCACATTGTTAACATCGTCTGGAACAATCTTTCTCCACAATGTTACCTGTGTCAAAATGCTAGTTGTGTCCTGGCCAGTGTGGCTCAGTGCACCGAAGGTCTTGGGTTTGATTCCCAGTCAAGGGCATGTACCTGGGTTGCATGTGCAGGAGACAACCAATCAAAGTGTCTCTCTCACATCTTTATCTTTCTCTCCCCCCCCCCCCCCCCCCCCCCCAACCCACTTTCTCTAAAAATAAATGAGAAAATATGTTCAGGTGAAGATTAACAAAAATAAAAAAATTAAAAAATGGCCCTAGCCGGCTTGGCTTAGTGGGATAGAGCGTCGGCCTGTGGAGTGAAGGGTTGCAGGTTCGATTCCAGTCAAGGGCGCATGCCTGGGTTGCGGCTTGGGGGGGCGTGCAGGAGGCAGCTGATCAGTGATTCTCTCTCATCGTTGATGTTTCTCTGTCTCTCTCCCCCTCTCCCTTCCTCTCTGATATCAATAAAAACATATATATTTAAAAAATGCTGGTTGTTCTCTTTTCTCCAGGAAGCCTTTCCTGACCTACCCTCCCTACCTCTTCCGCCACCTCAAAAACAAATGATATCTTTCTCTTTTCCACTTCACACTCTTTGCACCCTTCTGATACTTATTTATGCTTACCCACACTAGACAGTAGGTTCTAGAAAGGTAGGGGCTCTTTTCACTCATCTTTGTTTCCTCCTCAAATACATGCAATATCTTATACACAGTTAAGTGCTCAAAAAATATTAGATTTAACTACATTCTCTTCCCTAGTGTGCTGGTACTTGTAAACACCAAAGTCTTTTCAGAAAATAGGCGAGTTAACTATTAGCTTACTACAGAAATGTGTGTACAGTAAGTCCTCACTGGTATTATCACTGCTAGGTTCTATGACTTTAAACAAAATGATATATAAAGAAACCATTTTTACCACAGGCTAATATAAACAAAAGTTAAGTTCCTACAGCCTTTTTAACATTATAATGAAACTATGTTGAATGAAACAACTTTATTTGAGGACCCAGTATGCTAATTTGAGTTAGTCCCTTAATTTAGTTAATATTCTGAGGTTTTCCTTTGAAAACACCACTTGCTTTATTTATTTTTTTCAAATATATTTTTATTGATTTCAGAGAGGAAAAGAGAGGGAGATAGAAACACCAATGATGAGAAAGATTGATCGGCTGCCTCCTGCACACCCCCCACTGGGGATGGAGCCCACAACCCGGGCATATGCCCTTGACCAGAATCGAACCCAGGACCCTCCAGGCCACAGGCTGACACTCTATCCACTGAGCCAAACCAGCGCGGGCAAAACACAACTTGCTTTCCATTTCACTATCAAAGGTGGGAAAGAGGGAAGATAATACAAGCCTATGCCTTTTCACCCGCACAGTTCTGAGTCTCTCAGGAACATGTGTGAGGTGCAGTCTCTGTGAGGGTGGGATACCCTGGCTCCGGGCACTGTCAAGTGGTTCTCCATCCCAATGGGTAGGCCCTATCTTTACTTGGCAACTCAACGCTAGTCATCAGAGTTTAAGACTATTTTCAGTCTCATTTATCAGAAATCACAAAATTTAAGTATAAAAGTCTGAAAAGCTAAGTTTTTAAAATATATTTTTATTGATGTCACAGAGGAAGGGAGAGGGAGAGAGAAATAGAAACATCAATGATGAGAGAGAATCACTGATTGGCTACCTCCTGCATGCCCTCTACTAGGGACCAAACCCGCAACCCAGGCATGTACCCTTGACCGAACCCTTCAGTCCACAGGCCGATGCTCTAACCACTGAGTCAAACCAGTTAGGGCTGAAAAGCTATGTTTGTTAAGTCAAGAGGAGGCAGGCACCGTATTAGCAGTTGATGAGAGAATGACACCAGTGGGTCACTCTGTTTAATAAGCAACACAAAATAGGAAGAATCTCTTCCCTGCTCAGTCAGTTTTGGAATTAGCACTAGTGGGGACTGGGGCAAGTTCAAGTGTCCTCCAAGAACAAGGGTATGGAAATAAGAGGAACAGAGCTCTCACCTCATGTCAATCTCATTGAAAGTCGTCAGCATTGCACATGTATTCTGGGCCTCCTTCAGACGCTGAGCAATGCGTAGCCGCATCCTGTTCATTTTCTCCTGAAAGTGAAAGTGGGACCAAGTATTGACAACCTGAGTCTCTTTGGATCAAGCACTCCCCATTTGGCCTGTGGGAGTAGATGGCCAGGACTATTAATATCCAAGTACAATGAGAGTGCCAGCCTTCCTCTTTCCTGTGGCCTTGCTCCTCTGAGCAAGAACAAGGAAACAGACAAAAACTACTCATTCAGACTCACTTAAAGTTTGACCAAAAATGGAGGCCCAGGAAATGGTTTGATTTAAAAAACAAAACCAATTTATAGAAAGGAAGAGTGTGGTGTGGTGTAGGGCTAGTCAGCCAAGAAATACGGCAATTTCTAGTGTTAAAGACTTGCATGAGAATAGCTACTTGTGGAATGGAAACTCTGAAGCAATAACTTTTGAGGCTATAGTATTTTAGGAGGCATTCTCTCAGGCAGAGAAACCCACACTCTTGACCATACTTCCTTGAGGTTTTATGTCTGCCCCTGATAGCTACTGCTACTGTGAGGCCTCAGTTAGGTATCCCGGAAGTATAGGGATAGAGCTCACTAAACCACCTCTCTGAAGTGTGTTAGTGCACTCTTCCCTCCCACGATACTAAGCTATCATCCCTACAAATAATTTACTCACACAAGACAATTCAGTGGTAGCACAACATACTAGGAAAAACCACTGGACAAGTGTTCATTCAGGTCCTAGTCCTATCATTTGACAATTCATGACTATGAACAAGTCACTTCCCAAACTCAGTTTCCCTGTCAAGGTCAAGAGAATAAGCAGCCAGCCAATCAAATGCAGGCACTACCATGCCCACACTCCACTAATCTCAACATGCCCTCTGCCTCGGGCTTACCCGATGTTCTGTACGCAGACCTTTACCAGCTCCTGGCTCAGCTACTGGAGCAGCAGTGGGTTTTACCGCAGACACTGAAAAGAAAGTGGGGGTATGGGGAGGGGGTGGGGACAGCTGCATCAGAAAATGAAACATTTACTGAGTATGTGCCAGTGCTTTCATACTGTATAGTCACCTAATCGCTAATCGTCAAGATATTCTGGGGTAGCCCTAGCCCGTTTGGCTCAGTGGATACAGCATCGGCCTGCGGACTGAAGGGTCCCGGTTCAAATCTGGTCAAGGGCACATGCCCGGGTTGTGGGCTCAGTCCCCAGTCGGGGTGTGTGGCGGGGGGGGGGGGGGGTGCAGGAGGCAGCCAATCAATGATTCTCTATCACGGATGTTTCTCTCCTTCTCCCTTCCTCTCTGAAATCAATAAAAATATACTTAAAAAAAAAAAAAAAAAAAAAGGATATTCTGGGGTAGCCCTGGCCAGTGTTGCTAATTGGTTAGAGCATCAGCCTATGCACCAAAGGGTCGCAGGTTTGATTCCCAATCAAGGGCTCCTACCTGGGTTACAGGTTTGATCCCCTGCCCTGATTGGGGTGCGTGCAGGAGGCAACCAATTGCTGTGTCTCTCATTGCTATTTCTCTCTCCCTTCCACTCTCTCAAAAAAGAAAAAAAACTATTCTGGGGTGAAGATTAACAAAACAAAGCAAAAGATATTCTGAGGTACACTGGTACCATTCCCATTTCACAAATTAACAATCTGCTCAGAGTAGTTAAGAAGCCAAAAGTCACACAGCTGTAAACAGAAAGCTGGAATGCAAACCCAGGTGTGCTGATACAAAGTCTACAGTTCTTTCTTTCTACAGAGTAGCCAACAGAGCCTGCTCAGAGGCATGATTAGTCTCAGACTTTGCCCTGTGAGAAAAAAGACACATGGGAGCCCTGCCAGTGTGGCTCAGTGGATGAGCTTCGACCTATGAATCAAGAGGTTGTGGTTCAATGCCCAGTCAAGGCACATGCCCAGGTTTCGGACTCTATCCCTGGTAGGGGGCATGCAGGAAGCAGCCAATCAATGATTCTCTTTCAACATTGATGTTTCTATTTCTCTCCCCCTTTCCTTCCTCTCTCAAGTCAATAAAAATATATATTAAACACACACACACACACGCACCACACACACACACACACACACACACACACGAGTGAAGGCTTACCTGGTTTGCTAGCAGAGGGTTGTGAGGGTGAGGGCACTGGTGGCATCTGAGTGGGTATGGATGCTGCAGGGGAAGGAGGAACTGCCGATGCTATCGGTTCTGCCTTTGGGGCTTCGGCAGCAGGGGCTTCAGCTGGCTTGGCCTTAGCAGGAGCAGCTGGAAAACAAGAAAAACAGATGCCACTGTCTGGAATGGAAAGCAACCAAATCACAGATATAAGAAGGATTTAGCAGCAAAATCTCTATCTCCAATCAATTAACAAATGCTTACTAGATATTCGCTATATATGCAAGGCACTATAAGCTACATATAATGATATAGGCACCATTCTTCTATTCTCCAGGGCTTCCAGATCCTACATAAGACCTACTGAATTCAGCTGCCTCCCTAATTTCACAAATATCTACTGATCATCACATGTGGGAGAATATAGTTAACTATTAAAAAACAAAAGTTTAAATAATCAAGTGTTCATTTAGACTTAAGAGTTCAAAGCATTTCATTTGGATGATGCTTTTAAGACAATGAGATGGTCAAGTAATAAACTCACAAGGTTAAATTAGATCTTTATTTTGATCTTACCCATCTGGACATTATATTTGGTTTTATATTTAAATTAGAACTATTTTTTTTCAAAGGAATAAATGATCAAAAGAAGGAATTCTTCAACTGAAAAATCAATCTTCTTCACTAGCCTTCTACTGAACTTTCTTTCCATTCTGGGCTTCTATACTGCCCTGACCAATCTCAATAATGCAATCTACCATCTCTCTGCTATATATTTTAACAATGAGAAAGAAACTTTAGTATATAGCATTTAACTGAGAATTAGGAAAAAAGTTATTTTCGCCCTATTCGGTTTGGCTCAGTGGATAGAGTGTCAGCCTATGGACTGAAGGATCCCAGGTTCGATTCTGGTCAAGGGCATGTACCTCGGTTGCGGGCACATCCCCAGTAGGGGGTGTGCAGGAGGCAGCTGATCGATGTTTCTCTCTCATCAATGTTTCTAATTCTCTATCCCTCTCCTTTCCTCTCTGTAAAAAAATAAAATATATATATTTTTTAAAAAGTTATTTTCTGTTCTGTTCTCTAATACTGACTGTAAGGTCCAGTACAAATTCATTTGCTTACTTCTCATTTATTCTCAAGAGAAATACCAACCCTCCCTACAAATGTTATGGGAACAGATGTAAAAATATTGCACTGAATTCTCCATAACAGACACCATGAAACATTGCTTTTTCTCACTTCTCACTTTAGAACAGTAGCTCTCAGTTCTGGCTGTGTATCAGAATCACTTGGAGAGCATTAAAAACCACACACACACACGAAAAACTATGACAGACAACCAAGATCTTGTAACCCCAGATTTAATATATCAGAATCCCTAGACCATGGAGTCTAGGCATTTGTATTATTTTTAAAGCATCCATGTGCTTCTGATGGCAGGGTTGAGGAGGGGGGAAAAACTCCGTCTTCAGAACCTTCTTGATTTCTATCATTTTTTTTTTTTTAATATATTTTATTGATTTTTTACAGAGAGGAAGGGAGAGAGATAGTCAGAAACATCGATGAGAGAGAAACATCGACCAGCCGCCTCCTGCACATCCCCCACCGGGGATGTGCCCGAAACCCAGGTACATGCCCTTGACCGGAATCGAACCTGGGACCTTTCAGTCCGCAGGCCAACGCTCTATCCACTGAGCCAAACTGGTTTCAGCTCTATCATATTTTTAAGAAAAGGTCCAGCATAAGAAACATACATGGAAAGAACAGAATACTATGAGGTTTATTTATTTAAAAATATTTTTTATTGATTTCAGAGAGGAAGGGAGAGGGATAGAGAAATAGAAACATCAATGATGAGAGAGAATCACCGATCAGCTGCCTCTTGCATGCCCCCTACTGGGGATCGAGCCTGCAACCCAGGCATGTGCCCTTGGCCAGAATCGAACCTGGGACCCTTTAGTCCGCAGGCCAATGCTCTACCCACTGAGCCAAACCAGCTAGGGGCTATGAGGTTTATTTTAATACCATTTTCTTCTAAAACTTGACATTTAAAGTTCACATTATATAAATATCACCCCCCTCTATTCCTTCAACTAAGGGCAGCTGGAATGCCAAACTGCCTGAGGTACCAAGGAATTAGTACATTATGCTCAGCCCCAATTCCCAGGGCCACACTGAAGGCCTGGACAACGAGGGGAACTTCTTTACCGCCAGTTTTCCTGAGTGTGAAAAGAGGAGTGCCTCCTTCTACTTTTCCCCCATCAGGTACCAAAAGAGCTTCAATAACACCGTTTGCTGGTGATGGAACCTGCACGGATGTCTGGAAAAGGAAGACAAATGGACAATGGACAGATTTTTACTCAGCATTAGAAAAATAATTGTACAGAATCTCAAATATGAGTTACAAGAGTTGCAACACAAATATACAAGAACACGCATAAAAAAATGCCAACGCAACACCTGAAAGTGATTGAGAGTATGACAAGTCAATGCTACTGTGAAGATACACTCTTCACTCTTTATGTCCTTTCTCAGAAACATTAAAGCAGCATTCAGTCCATAAGTTTCCAGGTGATACTTGAAAAAGAAGTGGCAACAAATTGTGCAGGCTCTTACACACAGGCACAAAGAGCTACAAAACTATTACTAAAGTACATAGTACATGCATCTAGAACGGCAATTTTCAACCCCTATGCTGAAGCGCACTGGTGTGCCCCAAGAATTCTTAAAATATGCAATACCTGGCTATTTGGTCAGGAGCACTGACCTCTTTTCCCTTAATTTTTCAAATTTTAAAAAATGATAACAGACAACACAATAGCAGTCATCCAGTGTGACTGAATAAAACTATACCTATCTTTTTGTCAGAGTGGCAAAAATATAATACATTTTTTGGTGTGCCACAGAATTTTAGTAATTAGTTTATGTGTGTTATGAAATGGAAAAGGTTGAAAATCACTGACCTAGAACAATCTAAAATTAAACCTTTCTTTTTAAATGAGCTATTCCAACATTTTTACAACTGTGCTTAGAACCAGTTAAAGATGATCTTTAAACAACAGTTAAAGCCCTGTTTCTTTCATTAAGTTAAGAAACCAAGGAGAGACCTTAAACAAATTGGCACTAATATAGGACAAGCCTACCTTGTCAGTTTCAATCTCACAAACCACTTCATCTTCTGCAACTGTGTCTCCAACAGCTGAAAAAATAATCAAAGGCTACCTGTCAGGAAGGCCTCTAGTAGCCACAAAATACCCTTTTGCAGATATAAGTCCCCTTTCCTACAGGGCCAGGATAAAGTAGGCCACATGTAAAGAAAAGGGTGGGGCCATAGGTTCTACTGATTATCATTGGGGGTGGGGGAGATAAGAAAAGACTTTTAGGAAGTATTTCAATTTAAGTGAGAGGGCACTAATCTTACCTTTCTCCCACCTGACATCCCCTTCTGTGACAGATTCTGCAAATGCTGGGGTTTTTACTGTAATCACATCATCCTCTAGGAAAAGAAGAAAAAAAAAGAAAGAAAGAAAATCACACATAATCCATATGTTTTTTTCCTTCAATTAAACTCAGACAATTGTTCTCTTCCCATTAAAACTCCATTCCCAAGGCAGGGAGCTGAAGGCAGGTACTTACTGCACACAGCTGTAGTTCTGAAGAAGCGAACGCTGAAGACACTACTATTGTTAATGCTAGAAAAGAAACAAAAGTAAACTCCTTTGGCAAGTGAACCACTCACATTTTAGGCACCATGGATCACCTTCCCTTTAAATCAATGATTCTTGACCCAGGGTGCCTCAGTGTCACCTGGGGTAGTGGTCGGCAAACTCATTAGTCAACAGAGCCAAATATCAACTGTACAATGATTGAAATTTCTTTTGAGCGCCAAATTTTTTAAACTTAAACTATATAGGTAGGTACATTGTTATTAACTTAATTAGGGTACTCCTAAGGCTTAGGGAAGAGCCGCACTCAAGAGGCCAAAGAGCCGCATGTGGCTCTCGAGCCGCAGTTTGCCGACCACGGACCTAGGGGAACTTGCCTAGGCCTCATCCTGAGAGTCTCACTTGGCAGGTCTAGAGCAGAGCCTGGATGGGATGACTTGAGCGCCCTAAGTAGTGAGCTCATTGTGAGTCCAGGACCCTATGCTGCAGTGAAATTCTCTTACAAAATAGACTTACATTTGGTTCTTTGAAGAAAAAGATAAGCATCTTGGTCCTTTGCACACTCACCAAAGGACTTATCTTTCTGATCAGGTTTTTTTTTCCTTAACCAAATCCAAGTAAGATCAATTGCATGCCCTTGTGATACTGCCATTGTGCCAAATATAATGGAATTTCTGTCCATAGGATTGCAGATTTAGATTAGATAAAGCAGCTAGTTGAGACAGTTAACTTGGAAGTAAAATAAGGTTATTCCCCTATGCACCAAGAAAACCCCCCAAAAACCTCATATGGTGTCTCCTCATATGGACTCATTAAAGAGGAACCGCAAAAGACCAAGGAATTTCTTGATATGGCACTAACTTTAAATAATGTAAACCAGAGAATACTACCACCTTGTATGCCAGAAAGTGTTAACAGTGGTCACCTCTGGAGAGTGAGAGGCATAGTTATATGTATATGGTATCTATGGTTATCTGTTACAAACATACGCATTTTGGGAGAGTGCTTCAGACTGATGGGGACTTTCACTTTGTGCATTTCAGGACTGTTTGACTATTCTATACCAAACACCTTTGTAATAGGAAAGTAAAACAGATTCAAGTTGCCTTTTGATATTTTTAACCTTTATAAAGTCAAAATAAAATCTATGTTGAACCAAGGGGGAAAATGTAAGTTATAACAAAATACAGACCACAAAGTGTTCTGTATAAAGTTTATAACCATGTATAAGTACATGATCATGGGCAAGAACCAATGGGTAATGCAGAGACTGCTCTGTGAGGACATCAAGAAACTGGAGCACTGGCTGTCTCTGGGAAGAGGAACTTGGTGGCACTGGAGGACAAGAATAAAGTCTTCTCATAGACACTGTTTACTTTTGAACCCTGTACATTTATAACCTATTAAATAAAAATATAAAGCCAAAAATAGTTTTACAATCAAAGATTTTAAAAATAAAGTGGGTAGCCCAGCCGGCATGACCATGGTTGAGCATTGGCCTATGAACCGGGAGGTCACAGTTCGATTCCTGGTCGGGGCATATGCCTGGGTTGTGGGCTCAGTCCCCAGATGTGGGGCGTGCAGGAGGCAGTCCATTGGAGATTCTCTCTCATCATTGATGTATCTATCTCTCCCTCTCTCTCTCCCTTCCTCTCTGAAATCAATAAAAATATTTTTAAAAAATAAAAATAAAGTTATTCACACAGAAAATACACAACACAGCCCGGCCAGCATGGCTTAGTGGTTGAGGGTAAACCTATGAATCAGAAGGTCACGATTAGATTCCCAGTGGGGGCATATGCCTGGGTTGTGGGCTCGATCCCCAGTGTGGGGCCAGCAGGAGGCAGCCAATCAACGATTCTTGCTCATTATCGATGTTTCTCTCTCTCTCCCCCCCTCAAATAAAAAAATAAATTTTTTAAATACACAACACAAAAGTTATTATCTAATGTGTAATCTAACCAACCCCGCAAAGTTTAAGGTTTTAAAAAATGATTTACTTTCAAACAGTTATTTGTTATATTTATTGCATGTAGGTTTGTGGTTGCTCCAATTTTCAAAGAAATTGCAGATGAGTAGCACATTTTGATTCTAACTTTTTCAATTATAAAAGTATTAGATGTTCACTGTAGAATATTTGGAAAGAGCAAAAAGAACATTTACAATGGGATTATACCAGACAGCAGAAAATGCAATCGTTTTATAAACTGCTTTTTTTTTTTCACTTATCATAGTGTGAACATGCTTAACCAATCTCTGTTGCTTGGCCATTTGAGAGAAATCTGGGGACACCAGGATTTCTTTAGTATAGATTCCTAGAAATGGAATTGCAAGATCAAAAGGTAGACATGGTTCAGACTTATGAATGCCAAATTGCCCTCTAAAAATAACACATCATTTTATTTTTAAAAATCCCATTGAGATGCACAGTGAAGAAGGAACTAATCTGCTGACTCTTCATTTTGAAGATTTTCCTGCAGTAAAAGTAGCTTGATAGCTGTTTACTACGTAACTAGAGAGCATCCTCTTACCACCACCTTGAAAATACTTGGAAGGGAAAGTAACATTAAGCAACATTCATAAGCAGAAGTTAACCTGAAACACACATGGGTGGCCTTTGTCCAAACTTTGCATTACGCAATAACATTCCCTCCAAACTAGTCAAAGTCCCACGACTCAACAGACTAGTCTTTTGCTTTTACTGTTTCTAAAATAAATAACTATGCTACATCAAGAGGATCCTCTCAACCTCCACAATAAATGTAACCTCCAGGCCTTGAGCTGCACTTGTATCCAACCAGAATACTATTTAGGAGCACCCTTCTATATCTACTAGCCATAAAAAGAGGATTCCAACTCCAGTTTCATTATAATCTAAGCACCTTAGGACAGGCACACTCCTGGTCCAGCATTGGACATGGGGCTGAAGCTCAAGGTACATCACACATCATAAATTAACATCCAGGTTAGGTCTAGGGACTCAACCTAATTCTAGAATTCGAGCCCTGGAAACCACTGAAGAAAGTAAATGGTCGAATTTATAAGTGATATCTTAAGTGCCCTATGGCCACATAACTGTACTCCCCAGTGATACTTACGCGATCGTCCTCCTGTCAGGGTAACCTGGTCCCTGACATAAGGAGACCCCTGCAAGAAACAAAACAACTCTTAACCAACAACTCTTATCTTATACAGGATACCTGTTGGGAATGAAAAAGAAGTCCATTCACCCTCTAACTCTGAGAAAGAGTAGTATCAACTATAGGCAACAATATAATCTTTATCACACAGAGTCCTGATTCTCAAACTTTCCACCAAAATAACCATAATAGCAGAGAGCAGCAGGTGTATGGGGTTGACAGTGGGTATGTGGCTGAGCAGGAAAGGGGAGAACTCTAAGGGCATAGCCTGAAGTAGTTTTATCTTATTTACCTTAAAATCCATAAATGTTTATTATTCCTATTATGTTTTCCAAATAAACTGTCTCTACTCCCCAAGTCTTCAAATACAACTGAAGCTTGAGAAAAGACACACAATGGTTTATCCTGTAACCACACACAGCCTAATCTGAGAAGCAGTGGGAATGTTTGGTCTGGGTTTCTGTTTCCCTGGTTACTTAAAAATGCACTGAGCTGGAAGTCCTATTGCCTACCAGTGGTGGGCAAACTGCGGCTTGCGAGCCACATGCGGCTCTTTAGCCCCTTGAGTGTGGCTCTTCCACAAAATACCATGTGCGGGCGCACATGTACAGTGCGATTGAAACTTCGTGGCCCATGCGCAGAAGTTGGTATTTTGTGGAAGAGCCACACTCTAGGGGCCAAAGAGCTGCATGTGGCTCGCGAGCCGCAGTTTGCCAACCACTGGTAAACCCTAGTAGCAAAGACAGGGTTACTTTAGGCCCAGCGTCTCCAGCTGGTCCTAGTACTCAGCAAATAATTATCCCTCCTTTCAGTTTACTGTCTCTTCCTGAGGTCTTCTAGGCTGGTAACACACAACAGGTGGGAGTCCTTTCTGCCCCACCGTCCTTCTCACAGATCACTGCATTTCCCCAGCTGAACTAAGTACTATAGCTGCCTCACCTGAATATGTTCTTTCATTTTTCCAATCTATTAAGAATCCTTTCTGAACCAGGGTTCAGGAGACACCAAATGAGAAATCTCTCTCTTGTGCTCACCTCCGCACAGACACCCCCTGGGTTTCAGAGTCAAGTAAGTCACCTATGTCCATAGCCAATGACTCTACAGCACAAATCCCAAGTATGCTAGCATGTTTTGAGCTAGAACAGCCAGCAGTCCATGCTGATTTTTAGAACCCTGAATCCAATTTAGAGTTCAGCCTAGAGCAAGTTTCACTTGTAGGGTTTATAAAAAGCTTTCACATAATGACCTCATTTTGATTTTCCTGTCTCACCATTCCCTGAAGTAGAAGCACCATCTGCCACTATTCCCATTTTATAAGTAGGGCTTCCAAAGGTGAAGCTGCTAGCCCCAAGGTAAAGCCCTAAGCCACAAGGCAAACCCCAAGTCCAAGGCTCTTTCCAGCCAGACATGCTTCCTTTCCATTCTATGATTAGTCGTCTCTTCCTGCCTGAAAACCTTTGCACAAGCAATTCATTTTACTTGGAATATAACTAACATTCCCACAGCACTCCCCACCTTCCCAAGCTGGGCTACCTCATCCCACCCTCTCCTTACACCCTGCACTTCCCTTTCACAGTAATCACAACGTAAGTACATCCTTATGTGTGCATAAATGTATACAGGCTGTTTCTCCAGCTAGCACAGAAGACCCTTGAGGGGAGAGACCATCGGTATTTCATCACCTAGAACAGTAGTAAGAACTCAAATAACCTGTTGAGTACATGAGGAGTCAGGCTTGACCAATAGTAGACTGAGTGACCTTGGTCAAAGCATTTAACCTCTTAGCCTTGGGTTCTATGTGTGTAAAATAGAGAGAATACTCCTCGTACTGTTTCTTAATGATTAACTGAACGATGCACAGAAAGCACTCAGAACACTGCTTGGCACACAGAAAGCCCACAACAAGCTCGACTCATTCAACAAATGCTTATTCCAGGATTATAAACAATTACTGGCATAAAATCTAAGTTCCTGCCAGTAGCCTCCACACCACACCATCTTCTATCTCATGCCACTCTCTCCCTTAACCAGAATGCTCTGGCCAAATCACCTGTATTTTTTTCCAGTTCCCAAGCACGGCTAAGCTCTTTCCTCCCTCGGGGACTTTGTACATGCGTTTCCCTTCCCTTCTCCTACCCTTCACTGGGCTGGTTTCTGTCACAGCCCCTGGGTAACAGCCTTAATACCACCTATGAAAGAGGACTCTTGCCCTCGCCGGTTCTGCTTGGTGGATAGAGCGTCCGCCTGCGGACTGAAGGGTCCCGGGTTCGATTCGGGTCAAGGGCACATGCCCAGGCTGCAGGCTCGATCCAGTAAGGGGCGTGCAGGAGGCAGCCAATCTCTCAATCAATCTCTCTCTCCCCCACCCCCCTTCCTCTCTGAAATCAGTTTTTAAAAATATATTTAAAGAGGACTCTTCTGTCCACCTTCATTTGCTTAGCAATCTCCACTTTCTTTCCCACCAGACTGTAAGCTCCAGGAAGGCAGGCCTGTTCCCCGGCTGTGCCCTAGGGGGTGCCCCGCTAGTGCCTGACACAGTGGAGACTCAGTAGCCACGGACTAAACGAGTGAGTGACAGCTGTCGTTACCAAGCGGCATCTGGCTTCCCTGCTCTCTATCTGCACATTATGGGGAGAAACGCAGGCACCCCGGTTTCCTCGCCGCCGCCTCTGCCCGGGAGGAGAACGTTTCAGGCGACGGCAAGGGCAGGACTTACCGGGCAGGGAGCGTCTCCCGAGAGGGCAGCTCCCCTGTGGAGAGAGAAGACATTGGCGGCGTCACCCAGATGGAAGGAGGGAGAAACGGCTCGTTCCCCTAAGAACGGACTCCAGGCTCTCCCGGCGCAGGTGACAGGTGCCGCTCGGGACTCCCGGGCGGAGATGCCACAGCCCCGGCTCCCGGCCCCGGTCAGCGCGCCGGCCCGGCCCGCCATCGCAGCTCCCCGGCGGGAGGGGGGACCCCCGCCTGGAGCGGGAGAGAAGGACGGGCCCCAGGACCCTTCCGGGGACTCGCGGCGTCGCCTCCCTCCCCAACTCGGAGTCTCTGGCCGGTGCGGCGGGCGGGCGCGGCGCCGGACCCCTCCTCAGCGCGGCCGGAAGGCGGGGGACGGCCGGGGCCGGGGCGCCGCCGCCTCGGGAAGGCGAGGGGCCCCGGGCTCTGCCGGGCGACCCCGGGCCACCCAGCCCGCGGCCTCTGCGTCCCGGTGCCCTTGGTGCCCGGCCTGGCCGGCGCGCCCGCCTCTGCCCCCCGGCAGCCCGCCGCCCCCGGCGGGTTTCGCGCCGCCGCCGCCCCGCCCCGGCCGGACCGTACCTTCTGGAAGGCGGAGAGCGAGCGGCTGAAGGCCCGGGACACGCAACGGGACCGGGACAGCATCGCGGCGGCGGTAGTGGCGGCGGAGCGGAGGGCGGGCGGACACCGGATATAGGGCCCGGCAGCCACCGGAAGCGGGGCGGGCCGGGGCACCGCGCGGGGAGGGGGGAGCGGAACGAACCACTGGCGGCCGGGGGCGCGGCGCGGCGCGGGGCAGCCCGAGTGCCGCCGGGTGACCCAGCCCGGGGCGGCGCCGCCCGCCGGCCGGCCGGTCCTCCCGAGGGCGCCTGCGACGGTCCGGCGACCGGGGGGTCGTCGAGGTCCCGCCCCTCCCGACCTCCCCGCGGCGCTGGCTCCGAGCGGGGCGCCCTTCTCTGCTGGTCCCGGGGCGCCGCGCCTCCCTCCGCCAGACCCACCGGCCGAGAGCAGAAGGCGGGCGCGGACTTTGAACGCGGGCCTTGGCGCCTCGCCTGCCTGATCTGACACTTGTTTGGCCTTGGGCAGGTGACAGGCCTCCCTGAGCCTCCGGTTCCGCAAATGTAATTTAAAAAGCAATAGTCTAGTCACCTCCCTGCCTCCCTAAGCCCGGAGCAAAGAAACAGACTCCGAAGAACCTCAGGAGGCTCCCACCGCCCTGGGCCGAGACCTGCACCCAGTGGCCTTCCGTCTGCAGCAGCATCTCCTGGTCTTCCCCGCGCCCGCTCCAGCCCCCTCCAGCCAGGCCAGTGGATCCTCAGACCCCCTGTGCATGTGGGCGGCCCTTCGTCCGTCACTCTGCCCCCGGAAGATAAGCTCCGTGTATTGTTCAATGCTGCATCCCCAGCATCTAGAACAGAGACTGGCATCGGCTGGGTGTGCAGTAAATATCTTCGGGCTGAATTTGGGCCTCCGGGCTTTGGGTAGACCATTCTGCCCCTATCTTCAAAGTGAAAGCACAGAGCACCCCTTTTTCTTCTGTAGTTTCCTAGCTCGCCTTCCTAATAGAAAAGGTTTTCTGTAAGCTTCCCACTGGATTCAGGACGAATGAATGAGGGAGCCGCTTGGTTCCTGTTCATATTGGTTCCTTGAGGTGAGTCATCTTGCTGGGTCCTCGGGACCTTTATGGTGCCTTCACTCATCCAAGCTCTGGAAGCACTGCCACTGGGGCTCTGGAGGGACTGGCAGAAGCCCTGAAGAGAAACAGGAAGAACATCCTTGCCTGCCACTGCCCCTGATCAAGTCCTCAGCATCCTTCACCTGGCTTATTACTTTTTTTTTATTGTTGACAGTATTACCGATGTCCCCATTTCCCCTTTTGCCTCCCTCCACCCAGCCCACACCCCATCTGATTTATTTTTTAAGTTTCCTAATTTTCCCTGGGCTTCCACTCTTTTTTTAAAAAAATATATTTGTTGTTTTTAATTTGAGAGAGAGAGAGAGGAAGGGAGAGGGAGAGAGAGAGAAACATCAATGATGAGAGAAAATCATCAATTAGCTGCCTCCTGCTGGAGACCAAGCCTGCAACTCCAGGGATGTGCCCTGACCGGGAATCAAATCAGCGACCTCTTGGTGCACAGGATGATGCTTAACCACTGAGCCACACAACCACTGAGCCACACAACCACTGAGCCACACAACCACTGAGCCACACAATCACTGAGCCACACAACCACTGAGCCACACAAACCACTGAGCCACATAATCACTGAGCCACACAACCACTGAGCCACACAATCACTGAGCCACATTGGGCAGGCACCACTCACGCTCTCTATCCTCCACACCTGTGTCAAAGATTCTTCTGAAATTCAAATCTAATCCTGTCACTCCCCTAATTAAAGTCTTTTGATTGCTTCTGCCTATTGGCAGGATAAAGTCCAAACTCCTCAGCTTGACTAAGTACCTGGCCTCTGGCTACATTGTGAGAGTCCCACCCACACTACCCAGCATAGCCCCAAGGTGCTTCTCCTTCAAATGTTTGTGTGGGTTGTTCCCAACTCTTATGTACCTAGGACTCCTCATCATCCCCCAAAGCGATGTAAAATCCTTCCTAATCCCTTGGGGCAGAGTTAACATAACTTCTGTGCTTGCAAAACATTGTGCTGTCTCTCCACATTGCTTTGTAATGTCCTATTTACCTGTCTGTCTCCTCTACTGGGCAGAGTAGCAGGGGGAAAGAGATGGTCCAATACCTCATTTTATTGCACTTTATTGTATTTACAGATGTTTCATTTTTTACAAATTGAAGACCAGATCTTTCACTGGCAAAAAGATTACAACCTGCTTTATTGCGGTACTCGCTTTACTGCAGTGGTCTGGGACTGAACCCGAAACATCTCTGAGGTATGCCTGAATTTTCCTCTATCCTCTGCACAGAGCATACTGCCTGGTCCTCTTTAGGTACTCAGTAGATACAAGTAGAATGACTAAATACTGGGTGCAGCTAAAGAACCCAAGAACAGTAATTAGAACGATGGCAATCCCTTGGAGGGGTTGCTGTTTTATTTTTTAGATGGCTACTTAATTTTTTATTTATTTTGTATTCATCTTTATTGTTGAAAGTATTACAGATGTCCCCATTTTCCCCCATTCACCCCCTCCTCCTTATTCTCCTCCCCCTTCCCCTCCCCCATTGTTTTAGTTTTCATTAATTTTTGAGATTTTTAAAAAATATATATTTTTATTGATTTCAGAGAGGAAGGAAGAGGGAGAGAGAGATAGAAACATCCATGATGAGAGAGAATCATGGATCGGCTGCCTCCTGCAAGTCCCCCACTGGGGATCGAGCCCACAACCCGGGTATGTGCCCTTGACCGGAATCAAACCTGGGACCTTTCCGTTCGCAGGCCAGCACTGTATCTACTGAGCAAAACCGCCTAGGGCAATTTTTGAGATTCTTATCTAAGGTTTATAAGTCCACGCCTGGATCAAGTGGCAAAGCATTTATCCTGGAATTTCAGTGATCACCCAGTTAACCTTAGCTGTTACAGTCATAGCCACCACCGCACGCACACACACACACACACACACACACACACACACACGCACGCACATACAGTAGTATGCAAAGTCCCCCTCAAAGGATAAAGGTTGAATTGATTTCCTTGAGATTTGCATATGAACTTCCATGAAGTCCAAGGTCCAACTCAATAGACTTCCACCCTCTTCTGCTTTAGAGCCTCCCAGGACACAGCATCATCGATGGGGACAGGAGTTTATGAACGTAAGTTGTGGCAGGGTTCAAAAGAGAATGTTTAAAATGTATTGTAAAGTATACATTCAAAAGAGCGTATAAATACATGTGCATGGTTTAAAGAAAAATAATAAAAGGAATATCTTACAGAAGACCAGAGAAGAACCAAGCAATGCTTAGAGAGATGGAGTTACATTTATTATTATTATTATTATTACTACTATTATTATTATTATTACACATAGGCCAGAAAACTGTATTTCAAATTCTGGGCCCCAACATGGAGGAAGTTTCCCTATTTATATCTTTTTACCTTCTTTGTCTCCCAAATATGGGGTTTTCCGGTCCCCTTTGCAAGTTCTTAAAGAGCCCTATGTGCTGGGGTTTTGAGACCTCAACCAAAGGCCTGGCCTGGTGCCAGCACTGATAACTTCATCTGGGAAAGGTTTATGGCTTCTCTGGAATGAAAGTAGTCTTATTTTCCTTATTATTTAAGCAAGCAAGCATTTACAGGAGCAAAAATAGCAGGGCTAAAATTTCAAACAGCAGTTTTTATATAAGATGGATGATTCATATCCACACTCGCCACCCATCGTAAGGAATGGAAAAGCCCTGTGTGGCCCTCCGTGCTGATCCTCCCAAAGTTAACCACTGCTGCACTGAATTATGTTTTAACCACCCCCTCACTTTGTAGTTTCAATACACACGTGTCCTAAACTATACTCAGTTTTGCCGATTTTTTCAATTGAGGAAAAGACGTGTGTCCTTTCAAGTTATAAAAGAAAAATGTTTGTTTCTAGGAAGGTTAATAATGGCTCAGTTAATGAAAAACACCACAGAGTGTCAGCTCGCCTTAAATAATACGTACAGCACCCTGGGTGGAATTGCTTAGTGGTTAGAGCACCGTCCCGTGCACCAAAGGGTCAGGGGCTTGATCCCTGGTCAGGGTACATACCCAGATTGCAGGTTTGATCCTCAGTCAGGGCACACATGGGAGGCAACCCATACATTTCTCCTTCACATCAATGTTTCTCTCCCTCTCCTTTCTCTCTCTAGACCAGTGATGGTGAACCTATGACACGCGTGTCAGAGGTGACCCGCGAACTCATTTTTTTTGTTGATTTTTCTTTGTTAAATGGCATTTAAATATATAAAATAAATATCAAAATATAAGTCTTTGTTTTACTATGGTTGCAAATATCAAAAAATTTCTATATGTGACACGGCACCAGAGTTAAGTTAGGGTTTTTCAAAATGCTGGCATGCCGAGCTCAAAAGATTCGCCATCACTGCTCTAGACTCAATGGAAATCATATCCTTAGGTGAAGATTTAAAAAGAAAATACACACAGCACTCTTTTTTTAAAAAAAATACGTATATTTTTTTAATTGATTTTTTACAGAGAGGAAGGGAGAGGGATAGAGAGTTAGAAACATCAATGAGAGAGAAACATCGATCAGCTGCCTCATGCACACCCCCTACTGGGGATGTGCCTGCAACCAAGATACTTGCCCTTGACCAGAATCGAACCTGGGACCCTTCAGTCCGCAGGCCGACGCTCTACCACTGAGCCAAACTGGTCAGGGCAGCACTCTTTTCCCTTACCTGAAATCCCGCAATATTCGTATGTGTGGTCTGAACTCACAGTCTCGCTTATATATTTGTGAATATTATTGACCAATGGCAGATGGGGCTATAACCTATCCTTCCATTTCTGGGCTCCATACGTAGAGATAATAAGCTTTGTATGATGCATGACACTTAGATTCCATCTATCTATCTCTCCATTCAGTTTTAAATTAAAAATAATGGCCCTAACCAGTTTGGCTCAGTGGATAGAGTGTCGGCCTGCGGACTGAAAGGTCCTGGGTTCGATTTCGGCCAAGGGCATGTACCTTGGTTGCGGGCACATCCCCAATGGAGGGTGTGCAGGGGGCAGCTGATCGATGTTTCTCTCTCATCGATGTTTCTA